ATCCTCCACCGACCCTGGCACCATCACTAACACCAGCTGGGCCAAAGCCGAAAGCTGTGTCTGAGGCCGCTTGGCACTGCGAGCGCTCGGGTTGGGCGCCTCGCCGCATTCGTTGTTGTCAAGCTGATTGGGTGACAGCTTGCGCTTATGCTGATCACAACCGCCATGGAAGGCAGGGGTAATGGCGCCCGTGTCATCGGTCGCCGCTGGCAGCAACATTGCCGATGCATTACCGACAACAGCACCGCCGTCCCAAACGACTTTATCAGGAAAAATTTCAGACTTATCTTGCTGTTTTTGTGTTTGTTCGGCGTTCAAGACGTTGCCTTTTGCGTGTTTGTCTATGGAAGGACCGGTCATACATTCTGCTATGCCGCGTTGACTCACGGGCTTGACCTTCTTACGGCCCCTCATATCTATTTTATGATCGATAATACTAAGTTCTGCACACTACGGAGCAATCTGGCAGCAATGGACGTTTTTGGCTGAAGGAATGAAAATGTACGGATCGGCCTCACTTTGTTCCTTATTTCCAAAGGCCAAAAAGGCCTCTTTATTCCTTAAAAGTAATATATTACTTAAAAAAAAACACTGCCCCAATGGTGTTCCGGCAGCCACGCAAATTCATGCAGCCCCACCCGGCGGCCAGCCGTGATAAGCGTCACCATATCTAGTTTACTGGATCGCTACAAAATAAGCACGCGTGGTGTAGGTATTTCCAATCCGCCAAGTAGTTGGCCGCATGACGTCCAGTCACAAATCGCCATCACACCCACCCTGGTCAGCAGCGGTTCAAAGACAGATGACATCAGCTCCCCGTGCAAGGCCATCGGAAGCTCCAAAAGCATGGCAACACCCTCCGTACCTACGACAATCATTCACAACGTCGCATGCACGGGAGAAAGAACCTAGGCGTGCATACATTTGCAATGTCGGGGCAAACACTGCTCCTTCCGGGGAAAATAAATGGCGGCCAAAACACTGCCTTGCTTCCGTACTGCTGGTAACCGTTACGACACGTGTGCTCCATTTAGTTTCCCGGGGGCGGCCTCGGCCACCGCTAGTGAGCAGTAGTTAGCACGGCTACTGCTGGTCAACTGATCTGGCGCTTCTGTCTGTATGCAAGTTCATACCTGGATGATCGTGCTCGGCCATAAAGTTGAAGTAAACATCTACTCTGGAGCGCATATCATTGTTGGCGGCAGCGCCGTTGTACCTTAAGGCGTCTTGAAGCATCATGGCTCGATGCTTGTGGCGCGAGGCCATGCTCCACATGCTGCTTACGAGCAGGGTCATGCTACCCATCTGCGTAGGCCCATTTTTTCGTGATAGTTACATGGTAACACGGTAACATGGTAACATGGATACAGAAAATGGTACCATGGTAACATGCATACAGAATAATAGCCATGCCGTTGTGTGGCAAGACCGCCATATAGAATGCCAAGCTGTAACAGATGCTCAGCAATGCAGCTGCAGCGCCTTTTCTGCCAGTCTTGCAAGATGCACAGTTTAGAGCTTAGAGCGACTCAGGTAGTCACGCACACATCGCACGTGCTTGAGGGCAAGGTGGTGCCACCGGACGGCGTGAGCGGCAGCGAAAGACAGGGCACGATTTTGCGTCCGCCAGTGCACAAGTATTTGCGCGGACATACACGACATGTGTATCTGGTTTTGATGGAGCTAGCATATGGCACGTTTTGTTATACGTCTTAGAAGCATTCTTCGCAAGAAGGTAACAACTTACAACAATGGCGTAAAAACACGCTCCCAAGAACAGCAGCACGAGCACAAACATACGCTCCACGTTGTTGTGCGCTGGCGGTCGGTCTCCCAGCATGACGAGGAAGCTCCGGAAGAAGGCGTACAGGTACTTGTCTCGATCACGGTCACACCGGCAATCCACCGTGAAGATCCATGGCAAGTTCCCTGCTGGTGAAATTTCGGGCACACTTCTTCTGTTAAGGCCTTGTACATCACCACGGCCGTACCCCATGTACGGCACGTATCCCCATGCCACGAGAAAGGTCCAGATCAGTAACCACGACTATATTTTGAACCGACTGTGTACCATGTACGTACCAATGTACGTGTGTATGTACGTATGTATGCCACGCGCTTCCCCTAGCCGGGTACGCAGTCTGTACGAATTGCAGCGATACTCAAATCTGCGCACGGTTAGGGTTTCCGCGTGCCCGTGTGTGTAGATTGCAGCAGAGTGGCGACTGGAATGGCGACTGGAATGGCGACTGGAACGGCGGGGTATGTGTACCTGTGCGAGCAGTCGACCGCCCAATACACCACCCCATTTATTGCCATCCGGGGATATAATTATCACGTACCCTGGATTTCTTGAGACAGGTAATACCACACGCAAGCTGCCCAGTGCGTCAACAGCAGCATTACCATCAAGAGCTTGGCGACACTGACAAAGTTGTAGTATTTCACCGGGATAATTGTGTTTACTTGACTGCGTCATGTATGTGTTCCGGACGGCCAAGATAGAGCAAGGGTGCGAGGGAATAGATAGATCAGTTGACGGTTTAATCGGTGGTGTGTTAGCACATATGCATGCATGAATGCATGCAGGGCCAGCCGCCCCAGTTGAATCCTCGCCCTCTTGCGAAGGACCTGCTAGGTCTCACTGGAGACACTAAATCAGTTTTCTATTCAGGGTCCTGGAGTCGAATCCTGGGGAGATCTTCGACTTTGTCGGGAGCATGAGATTATGGCTAGCTGCTGGAGTTGTGGGGTTGGGAAACAAACGTTGGATCGAAATTCGCACGCTGAAATCGTGGTGATCGCTGAACCGTTAGCCTGACATGATGAGGAAGTATTCTAGAAGGCAGAATCAACCACCTTGGACTTGCAGTTCGTTTGGCGTAGTACAATGGGATAATAGTGGATGGTGCTGCAAGGTGTTTAATCCTAGATGTGCCGTTCCTAATGTGTTCACTTGGCCTAGAAGCCTCCCACTCTGTAACAACAAGAACAACAACAACGTGCATTTTTCGGGCTTTGTAGGGGGGCGCCGCGCTGGCTTGTCATACTCCCCGGGGCAATGCGCCATTCGGGGCTCATAACCTGTTAAGACCAGCAAAGCGCCGGACCCCCGTTGGGTCCTATTACTGTGGCTACCATTCACTGGTATATGAGTGTCGGTCATTTCCAACAGCTTTGTCTTGCGCTGGGCTGCGCCCGGGGGCCCGTAAACCCCAGGAGGAGACTGCCGTGCGAGCCAGTTTTTGCCTCGGTTGTGTGTGGACCGGTGAGGTAGGGGTGGCCGCTCTCGGTAGGTGTCCGTTGCTCGTAGTCGAACAAACAGCTGGCCTTCAGGGACCAGCGTGAGAGTGCTCGCTCTGTGTTCGGTTTCTTTGTGCAACCGCCTGCACTCATCATATAGTGATATTAGCCATGCCAGCGCATGTCCCCCACGACCACTGTGCCCCACGATCACCTATCGACTAGCAATGTGCTTTTCCCACGCACCCCAACAAGATGGCGAGGCGCGGAAGCCGTAGCACTCCGAGCCAGTAAAGGTTTTTATGCCCGTCGCCATGCACGATGATGTCCACGATCTCGTCTAGTGGTAACGCTGAAATGAGATCTAGCAAGAACATGCCGCGAAGGTATTGCTGCGCAATGAGGTACGGCGTGCGTATAATGTCGCCTCGACTCGTCATGTAAGAGGTCCTGCAAATAAATAAGGCAAACAAATAAACAATTAAATAAGGCGAATAAACAACAAACAAACACACGCGGTGGAGTTAACGGACGATTAAGTATCAAGTCGTTTGCAGCTGTCAATACTTGTCGGCCAATGGCGACTTATCTTGGATTTTTGCCCGTCCGACATTTCCATCAGAGAAAGAAGTAAAATAGACCATACATGAACCTCGTGCGTGTTAGGAGCCTACTGGCGATGCAAGTGTTGGGATTTCTCGTTACCCGTCATCAGCATTTCACTTACGCAGGTATCCCGCGCCGCCTTCGCTTCCCAGGCTTCCCACTTGAAACAATGATAAAACCCTAGAGCGCGCAGCAGCAACGTAATAAATCCGGTCGCACCTACTGTAACGCCATTACTTATTTATAGATTCAAAAAGGTACGCGTAGCCGTCATGCTTTTGCCTTCAGTTTATTCTGTGCAGTTTTTGAAAAGAGCGAGGTTGCGTAATCAAAGCCATTCATATATATCCAGTTGCCATAACTGTGTACAAGCAAACTATTCGGCCTTGCCGGCAAGATCATCTTATATAAATATATAAAAGCCATACATGGACGCATTTCATTACTAATTTGGACCGACCTGAAGTTCACCACAATATCCAAGCTGTGGGATGTGGGATGCCGCGGCAGGCGATTAGGAAAGGTGGCGTCGCCCACGCACCCGTAACAGCGTCCATCCAGCCGTCCAACGGTGATCAATATCGTCCGATGTGCGTCGGATTACATGTGATGCATGGTAGTCCGCGCGGGAATGCAGCAGCCAACACATGTCGGCAGTTGATAGCGGCGGCAAGCAGCATATCATCACCAGAAGGTTCATGCGGGCGGAAACGAGTGCTCTAAGAAAACGCGGGCTTGAGTACAAGTACTGATATCGAACCCAGCACGCAGCAGTTGCCAGCAGGACGCACCAGAAGGTCATGGAAACGGCCCAACCCAGGCAGATGGTAGGCCGCTGCTTTCTCCAAGACTCAAAGGCTATGTATAACGGCACGCTGACGGCATTGTACAGCGCCAGGGCCAGCAGACATATAGTCCACCTGCAAGAAGCAATATGTTTTCAGTTAAAGCGAGTTTCGGTTAAAGCGAGTTTCGGTTAAAGCGAGTTTCGGTTAAAGTGGGTTTCGATGTAAGTGAGTTTCGGTTATAAATGTTTCCGGTTAAACATTCCGTGAGTTGGCTGAATGATCGTTGGCATGTGCCCGAGGAGCATGCCATAGTTGGACTAATAGTTTTTCTCCCATTTTACAGACGTACATGTATGTTGACCGGATTCAGTCTGTAAGCAAGCTACGGCTGCAATCAGCGGCCCATGTAGCCCCGTTTCGGCACAGCATCTGAGAAGGGTTTTGTTCTGGCCGGATGTGAGTAGCGTACTAATCCGCAGCTACCAAGCTGGCAAGCTGAGGCGGCCAGCCGTCGATCCCATTCAGCAGTCGCTGCAATGCGACAAGCAAAGGAGCAAGCTGCAAAGTCAAGCTGCAAAGTCAAGCTTCCAGCGGGGGGGCCCTTGCTTGAGGGTCCATGCTGCAACTTCTTCGCATGTTTTTTTGTTTTCGACGCGCTTTCAATACCTCCATCTGCATCATCTCAACCAGTGGTCCCCGTACGCGTGTAGCTGTCTTCAGACCTGTCCGCTGACTGGCCGGCCTCACCGTGATGGCCGCGGCGTAGCGGGGGATTTGTTCTTACATGATTCGTTCTTGTAAAACAGCAACCATTGGCGATATAGCCAATGTAAGATGCGTGGCATGGAAGACTGTTTCAGCTTTCAGCCGCCCACCGTCCATCCTTTTCTTAGGGAAACAATACAAGGAATTTTCAAGGCTGTCTCGGGTGGAGTGGAAACAGTGGAACACCCTACTTCGCGCACGCTTGGTTTTTAAGCGCCTGCCTTTCGGTTTGCGAGCAGTGATTACGTAACAATAAACTAAAGGAACCTACCACAGATAGGGAGCGCACGAGAGACAGTGGGCTGGAAAAGCAGCGACAACGAACGGCACCAGTCCTTCTAGTCCAGCTGCGTCCCGCCATTGAGCCTTTTGCAAGTTGTTTTAATAGAAAACCATTGCTCTATAATGAGCTCCAAAACCTACCACATTCGCATCGGGCTGGTGGGCAGGGCTACCGGGAGAACTCGGTCGACAAGTTGAACTTGGAAATTCCAGGCCTTCCATGCCATCCTCCGTAAGGAAGCAAACCATATAGACGGTCGTTCTTCCCTTGCTTTTGCCGTCATAGTGGCTGCGGCCGACAGCCCGCTAAGCTTTAGTGTTCCTTGCTGTTGGGGCTCCACTGTTCGGGTTGCTACTGATGCCAAGGAGAGCAGCAGAAATTGATTATCAGACATGGTTTAGATCTCAGCTCAGAAAATCATCGGGTCGCATTTAAACAACAAGGCCAAGGCCGCATGGATGCCCGTCGCCAGACGAGCGCTGGAAGAGAGCTCCAGTCATCGGACATGCTGATTATGTCTTAGTTCTAGTCGCGAAATATTATAATCTCGTTGCGCAAAAGTGATTTCAAGAAGTTCGGCAAGAAAGAGTGATAATAATTACGGACCATGCTGCGCTTCAGAGCCGCTAGAGTGTGGAACAGTGGAGAGTATTCTGCGCACTAAAGAAGCTCGGCGTTGTAAGACTGTGGAATGGAGACAGGCGCCAGCAGGCCAAAGCCACATCTGCCCTGCGCGTCCCAGGCCTTCCAGCCATGCATTACTACTTTACTGCATACATTCCTAAACCCTTTCGGAAATCCATGGATTCGGATTTCTGATAAGTGGATGTAGGGGTTCCATATGGGTTACAAAATCTGAACCCAACGTACCCACGTGCACCAGTACATTAATAGGGGAATTACTTATGTTGTTCCAGATAGTCGTTATTCCATTATCTTTGGTCACTTGCTACTACCTGCTATCATTTCTGCTGGCCTATCGACGGCTCTCCTGGCTCCTTCTGGTGCACAACTTGTTGAGGAGGTTGGTAACAGGTAACTTCGCATTGCCACCATCATCTGGGAAGCATGCAAACTTCGGGGGGGATTTGGAGCTGGCCCCGGTCCTTTTCGTTTCCTTTTGGAATCTCCTGTAAGCAAGCGCGTTCATATGAAGTAAACGCCTCGTTGCCAAACTGTAAAACTCCCGGCTTTTAGGAATCTTGGAGTCCTCGCGGAAGAGTCGCAACAATATGAAAGGACCTTACCTTAAGAGTGCATTTCCAGTGCGGATTAAGGCCAGGGATTAGGGCACGGAAGTCCTTGGTACGAGCTTACCACATAGTTTTGCTCCATAAGGGAACCAAAGGTTGAAAAGGCGAGGTAAGTTTGCCAACAACTTCGCCGTTTGAGCAAGTATCGATGGAGGACAGAGGGTTAATCCCTGGCCTTAATCCGCACTGGAAATGCACCCTTAGACATACATCTTAAAAACGGAGCGCGCTTCAGCTTTATCTGAGGGATTCTGCTGGGTATCTCTTACAGCATCGTGCTCATTATTTATGAATACTACGGTTTCCGGTATCGTACTTGAAAAGTTTTTTTTTTTGTAATGTTACAGAGTGGGAGGCTTCTGGGCCGCTTTATCACATTGTCAGTTCTAGATCATTTATCACCTTATAGCACCATCCACCACTACCACACTGTACTTCGCCATACGAACTGTAAGTCCAAGGCGGCGGATCCAGCCTTCAGGGACCCCTCCTCATCCATTCACCCGAACACCCGAAGAGACGGAGGGTTCGGCAATCGCCACCAATCCAGCGTGCGAATCTGGTCCATCAACTGCGACCTCAACTCCACATCTCAGCAGCTAGCCATAATCTCGCGCTCCCGACTAATTCGAGGGTCTCCCCAGGAATCGAACCCAGGACCTTAAACCGCTATATATTTGCAGTAGTGTCAACCCAGACCAGAAAAGTTTTGTTTGCCATGTTTTGCCCGTTTGGTTCTTCCTCTATACGCTTGCCGCGCCGCTTCGTCCCCTCCTTCGCCATATAAACCGCATAAACCTTCCCGCTGCCCGCAAATAAGGATTGGCTTTGACCATCCAGATTGTCCTGCGTCCTGGCTCAAACTCTCGACGGGTTACAACGAAACCCGCAAGTGGCAAACGTAGCGGACTGAAGCAGCATTAATCATCTGCGGCTAAACGTGCGACTGGTTGAACAGCACACGGCACCATCAGGCGACCTGTCATCTTCACGGAGTCTTCCGCTCACCACTACGTACGACAGTCCCGAAGGACATGCTCATGTGTGAGAAGGAATCGGCTCCCTTGAGTTTTATATAGGGTTTTGTATTAAATAATAATAATAATAATAATAATAACACAGTGCGAAGGGGGAGGAACTTGCCGTCTGCACTCTACCGGGTGGTTGGAAAAACCATTGTAATGATCTCCAAGACCGTGAACACCCTGCCTAAATCCTAAGTAAAGCGCCTGCCTGCGCAGCCAGGCAGGTGGGAAAATTATCACCAAAGTCAGCACTTGAGGGGAACTTGACCCGCATCCGCAATACAACCAGGGGGGGTACATGCGTCCCCATACCCTTTCCCGCTGCATCAAATCCCATTGCTTGCTGCATAAACCCAACAAACACTACTCGTAAGTCACCCACATCGCAGTCAACACTTTCATTCACGCACATGATGCTACAGATGGGTAGGCAAAACGGGGCAGAGCGAGTTATGCGCTGTGTAGTACGGCACCACCCGGGTGAGGCCTTACGTTCGTAAATGTCATTGTAAATGTTATGTTTACACCGGGAACAGGCAAACAAAAAGCCGTAGCTTTCTATTTTCTTAATGACTGGCGCCGTCGTTTGGCATCAAACTGGCGTCAGACGGCGATCATTTTGAATTTCCTGGCAAGGCAAGATGACAGCAGTACAGTATGCATGCAAGCCCCTCGAGGATTTTCAAAATTCAACAAAAGCTTCCATATACAACCGTTCGCGCCGAAAGAATAACTGCAAAATGCTTCTCGTTCAAGTTAACAGAAAGAAAGATGAAAGAAAGAAAAATACGACAGCACATTAACGAAAGCAGGTCAGCACAGCAGGTTGTACAGGTTCATGCGGGTCAAGGTCTGCACATGCACGTCCTGACATTTTTTCCTGGGAGGTGACAAGCACGCGCCCCGTGCTGTCTTAGCTGTTGATGTAACGGCATGATGCACCTGATCAGGTGAATTTTTGATGTCATGACAGGAAAGATACACGTGTGTAGAATTGCGCGGCAAATTTGTCATTCATTGACAGCGACAGCAACGCTAAAATAAGGCAACGAAGCCTAAACAAAACTTGTGGGACAGGAAAGGGTCCCGGCTAGCAGCCCCTTCGCACAGTTCCTCAGGAGCGCTCGCCTTCCACCTTGGGCCCTTGCAACTGCGGCCCCACACGCGACCTAAACGCCCCAGCCTCGACGGCCAGCGCAACTGCTCGTCTACCTTGTGCCAGATGCTCCGGCAGATATAACGAAGATAAATCAGTATATGAATTTATAATTTTAAAGTATATGGCGCAAAGGCCTTTTGGCGATCGACGATCACCTGCGTTCTGGAAGCTTCCAGTCTTAAGACTAAGAGCACTGCAGATAAGTAGACATGCATGCTACCACCTTACTGCTGTTGTTTTTTCCCATGCACATCGCACGCATGCATGATCAAATGGACTTATCGCACGCGCCCCAACTTGGACAGGCTGCTGACACGCAGTTAAATTTTCTGCCATGTATATGTAGCCATAGTTCTCTAGTTCCCTGCGGGTCACAAAGCACCAGCCAATATCACATCAACCTGCAGCAGGCACCTTTATTAATTCTTTAACTCTCACACGTCCCTAACCAAGTGCCAATCAACGGACCACACATGCATGCACGTGCTACCCGGAGCGACCTAAGTGTACATCTCAACAAAACGGGCGCTGGCATTTGCAGGCCATTTGCAAGGCTTTGCACACCAGCCATACATGAGTTTCCAGGCCATTTGCAAGGCTTTGCACACCAGCCATACATGAGTTTCCAGGCCATTTGCAAGGCTTTGCACACCAGCCATACATGAGTTTCCAGGCCATTTGCAAGGCTTTGCACACCAGCCGTGAAAGTGACATTCCATGCAAGCCTGCATACGCATCCAGGTGATGCATAACGTGATTCATAATCCTCACCAAAAACGATCCGCATGCTGTCCTGAAGGAGGGGACTTGTTTCCTGGGCCCCCACGGCTGTCCAATTCCAGATCCCACACCCCGCTGTTCATTTTCGGTACCTAGATGAACATCTGGTACTTACTGCTCCTGCACCGCGGATACTTCTGCTGGCTGTAGCACTTGCAGGATGAAACGGCCCGACATGGTGATGACTGAGGATTTTAACCCTTGGTACAGTCGCCATCGCGATCACTAGGCCATCATCTGCCTCCGACTACCGCTACCGACTACCGTTACCGCTAGCACCGCTGCTGCCGCTAGCACCTTCACTGCCTTCACTACCGCTAACGACCCGCCTTCCGTTGTTGCTATTGGACATCGCCCGCGGCCCGCCTTCTACCGATGTAAAGCGGCGGCTCCTGCTCCTGCTCCTGCTCCTGCTGCTGCTGCTGCTGCTGCTGCTGCTGCTGCGAGTCAGCGTCAGGATCAGCCTGAGCGAGGTCCTCCTTCGGAATCCCTAGGCACATCTCCTGGACAGTGACAGGACCGGCTCCAGCGGAAACAGGTCCCCCATCAGTTACTGCAGCTCCAACTGCCAGGTTCATCCAGGAGCTGCGTCTGCAGCTCCTGCGGAGGCTTGCAGCCCGTCTGCCAAACATAGGCGAAGGCAGAGGGCCATCTGCCGTTGGTTCGATGGCCAGAAGCGGTGAGGTGGCCCGTTTAGGATCTGTAGGGACTGGAGTCATGTCCAAATCAGGCGTCTCTAGGCTTTGGCACTGGCCTTGACTCCCCCTTGATGCAGCCGTTGGTGGCTGTCCTTGCTGGGCAGCAGTAGCTGCAAGGTTGCTGTACGACAGCAGTGATAGCTCCAGAGCGGAACGCCGCCGTCGGCTCATACTACCGACGGCTCGCTGTACGGTTGCTGCCAGCAGGGTCGCGTCTTCCACCGTCATGGCCTCTTGCGGCTGAGCATCAAGTCCCCCGCCACCGCCGGCGGCGGCGGCAACCGCCGCTGCGGCAACGGTGATGACTTGTGACTGCGCGCCGGCGCTGCCAACCAGCGGCTCAGAGTCCGGCAGCGTGCCGTACTCCATAGCCGACAGCCTCCGAGTGTGTCGCATGGAGAGCTGCCGACTGACCATCATCGGCTTGCAGGGGTCCGTCGTGTATCGGGTGCTGGCGTTAACAATAGGTGTTGCAAGGGGCAGTAGCACTGGAGGGGGGGCCTGCGAGCCAAGGAGCCCCAGTGCGCCCCCCGAAATGCTTCCTCTCTGAAGGTCCTGGCTGTCCAGAAGCGCTTCTCCGAAGACAAGGCCACCCACAGCGGCACCTCCGCTGTTCGACATGCCAGCTGCCATAATCGCCAGGCCCGTGGGGCCAGCTTGGATGGCAGCTTGTTTGTCTTCAAGCCGCTGTAGTCGGTCGTCTGTTAACACGACTTGCAGCGACAGATCCTCAGAGCAGGCTGCAGCAGCAGGCATGGATTCGCGATGGAGATTTGGAAGGTAACGAGAGGACGTTTAGGACTCTGCACGCGAGCCTTAGTAACCGCCTTTGTGCCAAAGGATAGGTTATTAGTCCGGAGCATGGCAATTAAGAAATGAATAGGAAGGTTGTAAAAAGGACTGTTGTTTCCTGCTTACTTGGTTTCCTAACCAATGGTTGAGAATAACCAACAGTCAACCAACTGGTTTTATATTGCGCAATGTAAAACAGCAGCCATGATCTACGCATCCATCTGTTGAAGTCCGCATCGACTCTGGCGAAAATTGGTGATTACGTACCTGCCATCGTATGAAGCATTTCTTGTATCTTGCGAAGTTGGGCAGCCATCTGCTCGTTAAGTTTTGCAGTTACCGCCTCGACTTCCCGGCGTAAAGCCGCAGCAAATGCCGGAACCTGGCGACCGTATAGAAAATTTTGTTAAAAACTTGCCTGATTTTTTCATTTGTTTGCCTCTGCTCTCCTTATCAGCGCGGCCCCGCACGTAGAGTACTTTGTCTTGCGCACCACTAAATAATTTACACACCTAATCCACCCACAGCCGAATAGTCCCGCAGCCACGTCCTCCATCCGTTTGGCATGATATGATTATACCTGAAGCGGGTTCTCAAACACGGAAGCCAGCTGCCTGCGAGCTTCGGCCAGCTGCCGCTCCAGCGTTGCAAATCTGGGGTCCTTTCCAGATTGCTCTCCCAGCCAGCCTTCGACAAAGCCGCGCGTCCACTTTGCATCACCGCCATCTGACGCCAAGCGGCCCCTTCGGCTGCCGCCGGTGGGGTCCACTGCATCCATACGCATAGACGATCGCCGTACCTTTCGGCTAAGATTCCACATCTCAGCGGGCTGTACAAGATCCTGCGTTGTGTCATGATCACCGTACGCTGACGAAGTGCGCGCCGGTCGCTGATGTAGGTTGGCGCCGCCGCTGGCTGTCGCGGTGGGTTGGTAGCCAGCCCGCATGCGGCGGCGTTGCTGCTGCTGTTCTGCAGCGACGGATGCTGCGGCCGCCTTGGCCACGTCATCGAACAGCGGTCCCAAGGGGTCGAGACCCAGGAAGGGCTGGGCTTGCAGCACGAGCAAGCGTGGGGCGTGGTCATCCTCCCTGTCTTCCTCGCTCAATCCAAGACCATCACTGCTCTGCGTGCGTAACCGTGCGGCTTTGTTCCTGCTGTGCCCCCCAACGCACCTGCCACCAGCTGCATCCCCGCCACGGTCCGCCATGCTTCGATGGCCTAAAGCCCTACCCAGGCCTCCTGCAGATGTGTAATAACGATGCACGGAGCTGTCGCCACCAGCCCTGTAGCCCTGAATAGATCCATCCCTCCAGCTCCTCACAGAAGTATCACCTCCGGTCCTGCATCCTTTAACGTTTGCATCTCTTCCCAATCTTGGACTGTGAATTGAAGCATCCAACCTCAAGCCGCGGGTAGAACTATCCCTGCCAGACTTGAAACCTCGGATTGAGCCATCGCAGACAGATTGATAGCTGCGAATGGAAACATCGGCTCCGGATCTGAAGCCATGGTGGGACCCCTCTCCATCCCTTCTGTAGGCATGCACCGACCCATCCCCCATACCATTGCATCCGCCGACGGACCCGTCACCGACGTTATTGGCACGGCTTTGGACAGGACATTCCGTGCTGCCGCAGCTGCCGGGAGGCTGAGTACATCCATCACCGCAGCTGGCCTGCGTCAGGTGCAAAGGCGTTCGTGCATTAAGCCCACCAGCTGCGATGTCCCAAATAGGCACGTCCTTGTTGTCAACCAGCTCATGCATGTTTGCGCCCTGTGTCGAGCTACACGACCAGGCGGACCTCTCCACCGGATCTTTATCCCATACCGCAACCTCATTGCATCCGCTTCCTGAGCCCAGCAATTGAGGGCCGGGGCCGGGCGGCTGAATTTCTTGTTGCGGCCGCCGCTCACCCAAGCCCTGCCGGGTCTCGGATGGTAGAGGCCTGGGCAGAATCGACTGGAGGTCCTGCTTCTGCTGCGGTGAGAGCCGCTGGTATAGGCCAGGCTGGCCGGGAACGGCACCCAGCTGTACGTTCTCACGGTTTGTTGATTCACATACTGGCTTTGCCCCTCGCCAGACATGCCGGAAAAGGGCCTGTGTCGACTCCCAAGTGGAAGCAGGGCAGCCCTGCGGGCTTTTTGGCCCAGGTACGGAGGAGTTGAACGCATCCACAGATGACCCATGGGTCCCAATTGCCCTGGAGCTGGTGTACTCCATCGCCTCCACTACGGGCCCCCGATTACTGCCATTGCCGTTTGCTGAGGTTGACTGCCCTGGCCCGTTTGGTCCGGTACTGTTCCATATCGGCAGCCAGCGAAGGCTGGCACTGCGCAGAATGCCCTTCACCACTGATATAGTCGTTGCGACCTCGCCGCCATCGCCACCGCGACCACCCTCACCATCGTCACCACGGCCGCCCTCACCATCGCCACCACGGCCGCCACCATCAGCATCGCAGCTTCCATGATCATCGCCATTCAAATCCAGTGCGGGTGCTCGGCTTGACGAGTCGGAGTCCCGGAAGGGTCGCACCACGGAAGAGGAGGCGGGTGACAATCGGTCATGAACAGCCGCCATGCCATCCGGCGCCGGAACATCTTCCTCTTCACTCGAGGCAAGACTTTTCTTGGAGTCTCGAAGGTGAAGCTCGTGCCGTGGCGTCTTGCCAGCAGCCAGTGATGCCGCCCACACTGCCGGACCCGCCTCGTGGTCCTCCAGCTGCACCCGGGCCCGGCCTTTGACGAGCTGAGCGCTATCGGGAAAATCTCGCATGGCGTCCTGTGAGTTTGCAAAGACATGAATGTAACTCGCGAGTGGAGCTGATAAAGCTGATACTCAGTGAAGTGTAGGGAGGGTTGGGACTTGCGGAGATGGTGTGTTGCTGATAGGGGAAATGGGGATGCATTGACAATCTCATCACGCAGTTCCATGCAGGCATGCACATCCCAGATTTTAAGATATCGTGCAGGGAGTAGAGGAGCTGGGTTTAAGCGGTTTAAACCGAAACCGAAAAGGATGCATCTAGTGTAGCTCTGGTCTGTAGTCACGCCTGGGCGACGAGACGTGGAGCCCGCATTGCAAAAGCCCCTGTGACTGGAAATGCAAACCATACAGCTACCAGGCCTCAGCTCATCGTACTCCGTACAGCCGTACCTGCAGGTCCCAGAGACTGAGAATCATTATATCACACTGACGCAGTGCAACGGCTCGGTGTGGCCGTGGTGTACTGTCATTCATAAGCCCCAGCTCGCCAAAGTGGTCGTTATTGCACAGCAGCGCCGACATGCAACCGTCTATCGCAATAAGGCCCACGGCGCCCTTCCAGATGACGTACATGTCGTGACCCACGCTGCCAAGGTCGTACACGATATCACCGGGCATGTACAGCGACAGCCGTAGCCGCTGCGCGAGCCGCCATAAGAAGGGTCGCTCGCAATAGGCGAACAGTTGAACCTGGGACAATTGCACCGGCACACAGACGGGAAGTGTGCGGGAATGTGCGCTTTGCAATACACTCATGGCGGAGTGTTGGCCTGGTGCAGTCCAGTCCAATGCAGTGCTTAGCCGAGTTACCTGTTTAGGCGTTGGAACGGGTTAAGCGAGCATGGCGCCAACCGGTCATGTCATATGCCCCATCCGCTACCCCAATACTAGACACACACATACACACACACTTATACACAGACACCTACTTGTAGATACAGAACAACCTACCTTTACCAGCATGCGCTCAAATACTGAGGATAGCACCTCAGCGTGCAAGGCAGCTGGCAGCTCAGATAGCAAAGAAACACCGTCGGGGCCTGTTTGGGTTCATCCACACAAAAAGAGAGCAACGCAACTCAAAGGTGTAGGATACACAAAAAAAGAAATATAACATAGTGCATATCACAATATCGCATACCTTAGTGCCAGTAAAGATTGGCGACAAATACTTCGGCGACGGCCTTGTAATAGAGGTCCTGGAATTTTGCAATGATTCTTCACCCCTTCTCCTTCTCTCCCTTCTCACCCTCGCTTTCTCCCTTCCCTTTCCCTCCTCTTGCCAGCATAATCGTCAATACATCATTCCTCATCTTCATCTAAACAGTAATAAAGCTGCACGCTTAGCTTTGTATACTAGATGAAAACTTGCCGTGCGTCGTACAATTGGTGACGTGACGCCCGTGCTGGAAAAGTCTTAGACAATTACACCCGCTGCAATACAGCTGGTGGCGGCATCCCAATTGTGTGTCACCAACTTTTACTGGCACTACCGTACACGCATTCTGGGTGTGTGTGCGTGTATGTGTTATGGCATGTATTACGATTACTACCGCTTGAAGGTGTGTGTGACTGCGTGTATGTGTGTGTAAACTAACAACACCTGTTTTTCCTTGGCCAGTTCTAGTACACGCCGCCAAAATCCTTGTCGCTGTTGAAAATCCTTTACTGCACTACAACGCGATTCGTCAACATCGCGGAGCTAGGAGCCAGCTTTCCTCCGTGCTCGCTATCTAAGGTTGTCCTCCACGGACACAGCAGATGGGCAATCCTACCCTGCTGCCCGTTTTAAGATGATGCATACCTGGATGGTCAAACTGGGCCATAAAATCATAGTACTCGTCCACACGGACGCGCATACTATGTGAGGCGCCCTTGTACCTCAGTGCGTCTTGAAGCATTGCGGAACGCTGCTTGTGGCGCGAGGCCATGCTCCACATGTTTGTGACTAGCATCGTAATGCTGCTCACCTACACACAGAAACAGGATGGTGATTGTGGGCGGCAGCAGGGCTTGTCCTTAGGTGTTTGTATGCCGTGACCAGGATGCTGAGCCTGAATCGCCGCCTCCATCGGCGGGCGCCCGCCACCGGCAGGATGGCGGGCGAAATCAGTGTCAACGGCAAGTGGATCGGCTGGGGCGTGGGGCGACATGAATTCCAGCGTGAAGTAGAGCTAGAGTGCCCATAAATATGTTCATATTTTGGAATGGAAAGGTACACAATTACAAGCCCAGCAGGGGCATGGTCGTTAGGTATCTGACTTACAACGACGGCGTACAAGCAGGCGCCCATGGACAAGAGGATGACTGCGAAGACGCGTTCCACGTTATTGTATGTTTCCGGTCGATCTCCCAGGATGAGTAGGAAACATTGGTAGAAGGCGAATGAATATTGCTCCAATTCGGAGCAGTTCATGCACCGCCCCGAAAAAATCCACGGCCAGCCTGCGAACGAAGGCAAAACTCAAATTGACATAAAAAAACAAATTTTAAAAATATTCTGTTACCCAACACTGCGGGACGGAGTCCTATAGCCAACTTTCAGTCGGTCTTGTGGGTTTTAAGGTTTTCGAGTCGTGCGTCGCGGCTTGGTATGGTTCCCAGATACGGTAGCACACCTATATTTACTTTAATGGCTCAACCGGTGTTAGCAGCTACGCTAAAAACGTTTTATGGCTCTGAGTATCGATCATATAATATTTATGATGGACACCTCGACTGCGTAGCGCACACCTTGTGACATACGCACGCCCTTCCCAACCAACTAGTCCCAACCAACTAGTCCCAACCAACTAGTCCCAACCAATTAGTCCCAACCAACTAGTCCCAACCAACTAGTCCCAACCAACTAGTCCCAACCAACTAGTCCCAACCAACTAGTCCCAACCAACTAGGTTCGCCTGACCTGGCACCTTGACGAAGAGATAGTGCCACAGGCACGCCGCCCAATGCGTGATAAGAAGCATAATGCCCAGCAGGCGGGCCACTCCCACGATGTTGATATACTTGGTCCGTGTGAGCACATTTACGTGCCTGCAGCAGCAGGTCGAGCAGCCAGAAGTCGTCAACAGACAAGCTCATGAGCAAAACAGCTGCCTTGCGGTCTACGGAACAGCAGCAACAAGATCAACACGCAGGCTGCCGTACATCGATGGTCTCCCGTTCACTTAACCTTACCGAATCAGGCGGAACAGGCGTGGCAGCTTGAGCAGCCCGAGCCAGACGGCACCCTTGCGGAAGCTCGTCTCGTAAAGAATCTCGTCCAGTGGGAGCGCCGAAACCAGGTCCAGCAAGAACATGCCGCGAAGGTAGTGCAGCGCAATGCGGTGCGGCACCCGCACCAGCTCCCCCTGACTTGTAATGTAGGCCGTCCTATATTCGACAATCATTTAATTGCCGCCGGTTTATTTGTTGCCCTGTAAGAATCGCCTTTCCGGTTTCTGGACACCGTTGATTGCAAGCTCCGGTTGGACTGGATTGGATGCATTGCATGGCTACCCAGCAAGCAAAAAGCTGCTCCAGGATGTCCGGAGCTGCAGCTATGCATGGTAAACAAATGCACCTTACAGGTAGTTGCTAACCAAGTAAGCCAACGAAGATAATGGATATGCTTATGAAGCCTGCTGCCTTTCTGCGACCGTTGAACCGCAACTGCTAGGGGACCAAGTGCTAGGGGACCAAGTGCTAGGGGACCAAGTGCCCAAGCCGCGGTTGGCTATCAGCCCAGCCACCCCTACGTGGGCTTGCCATCGGCAAAAAATGGCATGCTACCTACCAAGTCGACAAGGTGGTCCTACCGTCCCACTCTGTCCTCTGTCAGGTATCCTTCATACCTGAAATGGACAAAGACGTCAAGGCTACAAGAGCCATCCAGTTATTGAGCATGTCGCCAGGATGGAAGGCAAGCAGGTAGGGCCAGGAAAAGTAGACGACGGTAAAGAAAAAGGCAAAGAAGCCGGTAAAAGGGAGACAGGTCAAAGCAACACAATGCATCGCATCACAACCGAATGCAACACGTAGCAAGTGAGGGCAGGCGTAGAGACCGTCATCGTAAAAGGCCGCATTAGGAACGCGTGGGCCGTGTTGTTTGCCGCCAACACCAAGTTAGTGCCCATCGGTGCTGTCTGTACAGCCATCCCGCAAGGTTGGCTTTTTTCCGGCATTTTATCAGCCGACATGTGAGGATAGCCTTCCGCGTTTGATAGCCCACTCGGAATTCCCCGCCGCTGTATCCTTCCGCACGCAACCCTAATACATCCCTAATACTGTCTCAGCCATCTAGCTATATAAGTTCTGGCGGCAGTATGTCTAAATCTCCGGGCCGCCTACAACAGGAAGCAGCGCCACGAACAAATGCACGTCACAACTTTGCACCACCAACACGGAGTATATACAGTCCCCAGCCCCAGGTCCATTCCTCGCCGCCAGCCTACCAGAAGCTGGCTGACGTAAGCAATGATAGGCTGTGAATGGCGGGTAGTTGAATCCAGCTGGTGAAGGCGATTTGCAGTGGCACGTCAACAGCCATATACAAGACCAGCACCAGGGTATAGAAGGACCAACTGCGGCAACCCAGGCGTTTAGCACGGCATCCGTAGATCGATTCCCGTGAAAAGCCGATCCGCAATAAGGCCCATCCGCGCGGTACGCGGAAACAAGCGAGCAGGCGGATGGTGTGACACGCGGGCAGGCGGGCAGACGAAGGCACACAGGGCCGAGCCATAAGGTAATAAGCTTGGGGAGAAATTTACCGGGCGCAGGATAAAAAGTATTTGGCGTGTTTATATTTGGCAGACGAGTCGTACGGCAGGTGGGCGGGCAGGCAAGAGCAGCAGCAGTCAGAAGAGGCGGCACAGTGGATACAGGTGCGCGCACATGCGGCGTACTTAAGGCCCCAACCTAAATCAAGTCCCGTAGCGGTGGCGCAGTGTGCCCTTTCTCATTCGCCTTCAACCCCTTCTGCTAAGATCGGCAGGCGACCTGGCAGGTTGAAACTTGGTAAGATCTTCATGCTACACCATACCCCCCCAAGCCCACCATTTCCTCTGGGGGCTGTCCGGCACCATAACAGGCAGTAGAGTATCCAGGAGCCATGATGGAAAGCTGATGACGAATCCCACAGCGCGTAATGGCCAGCTTTCAAAACTGAAAGGCTGCTGATAGACACCCCGTCCGAGGACGACCGTCCGCTCCTGGCGGGCTAGTCCGACCTCCGTTAACGATGCGTCAGAGTCGGAGGAAATCATGGGTGGCACGTTCGTAGCTTTTACTGGTACACCCCAGGTGTCTCGCTTAAGGCTGCTGCTGAGGGGATTTCAAAATGGCCTGTACCACCGGCATGCGTATGGCCGCAAATCTTGCAGAGTATTTACTCTTTCATGGTGACACAATTATATGATGTCCGCTGCATGGTCCTTGGAGAGTATAGATGCTCCAATAGTGTGTGTGGTTGTTACAGTGGGCTCCAGACTCCCGAAGAGTAGAGCCATCGGGCCAGCTGGCCGTGCACTGCAGTAGAGACTAATATACCAAAAGATTATCATCTCAGATAATTAACCTCTCATCGGTAACCGCTCTCGCGAACATAGCAATTTGCCAGATATAATCCTCAAAAAGGGGTGATGTGCGCCAACGGAATCCCAACCTTTTCGTGGAATTCCTAAAGCTGCGAAACCCTGAACACGGCCCCAAAAGTCAACAATAACTCGACAAATTGCTTCTTCCGTAAGGGAAGGACCAGGTAACAGTGCCGGGTTGGTTTTCATGTTTGCAGCCATATAACGTCTCCCATGCTCCATGGCTGACACCGCAGCAAGAGCCACAACATCCCAAACACATTGTTGCACTGATTGTGGGGCTTGGATAAGCCAAAGTTGCTCCCTTGAGATTGGCAATCCTATTGAAAGAGTAAGTTGATCTGCTATTGCCTGCGCCACCGGACAGGCCCAGAAATGATGATAGCGAGGGGATACACCTCCCACTGAACCTATTGGATAACCTCCACAACCACACATCGTTGGGCGCGACATCCTAAGATGGGAATTTCCTAACATAGGCACCCCATCAACCGCGAGACGCCACCAAACCTCTTTTTGTTCATTTTCCCACCGTAAATGAAACCATAAACGATGGAATGTCCGTTGCAAAAGAAGAATAGCTTCATCCAATATCTCAGAAGAACCCGTCGCCTCTTTGATGAAAAGGGTATGGGCCACACGGCGAGCCATCGAAAAAGGTGAAAGTTGCATATTAGTCGCTATTTTAACGGATAAATGTTGGAATCGGATTGGAGGCCCTACACCCCATCTCCAACCAAGCCTCGACAGTAGGGTTTGGGTAACCGACTCAATAGGGGGCACCATCGCTTCCCTAGATTCTACACTCAACGGCAACAAAAGACTAGCCGCCTGTCTCCAATTCGCTGGAATATCATCTAGAAGAGCGCCAATAGCATCCATACATTCCTGCCATTTACGATAGGTGCACAGGGATTTAGCTAGTGGGGTTTGCGGTTGGAGGTATTGATCCACTATTTGATGCCAAGCCTTGCGTATTGCTAGGCCTGCTTGGTCCGTTGCATTCATAACTCCATCCAAGGCTTCGCGCGCGCAAAGAACATCCCCCAACGTATGCAATGCCTTACAGCCCAGGAGGGCTTGATGTCGAAATTCTAGTCCCGGGCGGATGTTATCTAACTGGACATTCAACCTTTTTTCTGGAAGAACAGGGTTTCCCCACAATGGCAAATTCCAACACCACGCATTAGGAACTAACGGGTGGTCATCAACATCTTCCACTGGGGGAAGGTATGCCAACGCTGTCACAATGCGCTGAACATCTGGCGGTAAAACGATTAATCCAAACCAAGGCACTCCCACCTGGGACGTAAAAATACACAAAGGATTATATTTGGGGTAAAGGCTATGTAGGAAAGAGTGCATGACCATCACCCAAGGCGGACGCACTAAAACTGGTTGGAGTACTGCTCTCACAAAACGCACTGCCCAGCACGCCCATCGCGCTTGTACATGTTGTCGTACTGCTAATGCCCCAAAACCGCCCAAAGTTGGATGGCCATATAACAAATATTTAGGAACCCCGGTGAGTCGTCTCTCTTGTGCGACCGGTCCGAGGTTCCTATCAATAAGCTTGGCCGCTTTAGCCTCAATATTCATGAGTTGAGCTTCTGGGGGAAACCCCCCGTGTTCCATATGCCACGTAAAACGATGCAGCCCATATGCAGCCGCTGCATGTGCACGTCCAAAAATGGAAAGATTTAACACCGAAATGCGTCGAAACCGAGTGGGACAATAGTGGGACGATGAAGGCAGTGCACGCTCCGGGAAAAGGTGCGACGCGCCGTTCAAGCACATTAACTATGCCATCCAATAAGAAAATAATGCATTGAAAATGACTATACTTGCAGGTTCCTTAAATTCTCTGCGAGCGGGGCGCCGCGCGCGGCGACGCCGGCACATGAATTAGGTACAAAATTTGCAGACAATTAAATTGGTGTAGCCACAAAGGCCTTTCATGGCTGCTCATGCGTACAATATACCATTCCTATCCTCGGGCCGTTGTAGAATGTACTGCACGATGTAACCCTTTATGAAGCACACGCATCATGAAGGCACAGGGTAATGTACGGCCAAAGCTCATCATTCTAATGAATAAAGCATCGGATTGATGGGTGGAAGGTTGTCCTGCCTTTCCTTCATACGAAGCGGACAGCACTTCGGGTGTAAAGCTAAAGCAGCTACGCATATCGCTTAGCAATACACGCGTCTAACGAAGCATTTACATCCCAAATACAGGTCAGAGAGAGAAAATCGCTTGAGCTGTACATCGACAATTTCTGCATGGCTTTTGCCCTCGCCCAAAGCTGCCATAGTGGCTTGACAATATTTGCTCAATAATGCATCAGTAAATAATCTGTTGAATACTTCAGTTGTTCAGTGCTGAAAGTATAGAGTGTCAGTTTCCACGTGTACACACTCCTCATGCATCACGTGGCGTTACTAAATCCATCCTTTAGACGCTCTCCACGGTTAAACTAATTGAACGAAGTGTCCCAAAGCAATCCGAACAAATTTTAGGTTTGATTCTGGGAACTATGAAATCAGAAATGCCTTTACGTCGATGCTTTAAACGGCATGTCACTTACTGGGATGTTATGCTCGCATCTTAGGCCCAGGGCAAATTTACTCGAGATATTACTCGATTCGCATAAACAACAGCAGATCGGGTGATGTGTGGAGGAATGGAGGGGTGGAGGAATGGAGGAATGGAGGAATATATGGTCCGAAGGAGGGATGGAGGGTGGGGAGGGGTGATGTATGGAGAGGGTGATGGAGGAGCGGATGGAGGAAGGAATGGAGGGATGGTGGGAGGAATAGAGGAAGGGATGGAAGGATGGAGGGAAGTATGGATAGGGGGAGGGAGAGAAGGAGGATGGAGGGAGGGATGTATGAAGGAAGGGAGGCAGGGATGTATGGCCCTATGGCCCTATGGCCCTATACATACATTTAACCGGTCACCAATCGATCACCGGGCCCAACCGGTCTGTAGGGTGGGGCCTCGGTAGGACGACCGCGGAGTTACCGGCCCTTAAATCTTATCCTGGAAAAAGCAACTAGACATATTAAGGTTGGCTTTTATAGAAATCGATCTTCCTGGCTCATCAACCATAACCCTTGGTGGGGGACGGAACCCGTGAACCAGCGTCAACAGGGAAGAACGGCGTCTCCCCGCTGAGCGGTCCCTTGGTAACTAATGACTTATCCATCCATCCATCCATCCATCCATCCATCCATCCATCCAAGAAACAGGATAAGCAAGAACATATTCTTGCTTTACGTATTACTTAACGGGCAGTGTTTTTTCATTTTTGCCCGTCAAATTTCCAGTCCGAACGGAGGAATAGGTTTTTAGTCGCGGGAATATATTCCCGTGTGTGTGCACACATACGCACTCTCTGGCATAGGTAAGGGCTACCAGGCCTCATCTATCGCATCATCTCATCACCGAATAACCTGTCAGTTTCGTCTGTGGGAACGCAGCATAACAACCGCACTGCCCAAGCCATATCGATTAAGTGCTTTCCAGCCAAACGCCACCATGTGTATCATATCACCTTTCGCACTTAAATCGCAGTGACGGAACATTGATACAGAAAGCCAATCTTGGCAAGAAGTATCAGGGGAAATAGTTAATATACATCCGTGCGTGTGCGTTGGTAGAAATGGACGGCGGACCGACATGTTGAACGTGATGGTCGTCCTTTCGCTACTGGTGCTCAATGCGTGTGACCTTTACAACAAGTTTACGGCATGACTCATTTGTTCCTATGCGTTGACGCTACTCCTGCCAAAGCAAGGTCAACACAATGTCCGCGCGTCTGTGACAGTAAGAATCTTATGTCTTTTCCCTTCGATTGCTTTCTCCATCTATGCAGAAAGCTTATTTACTATATGTGCTAGTGGCTCGGATAGCCTCGCTTGCAAACATCGGTATTCTGCTTTCATAAAGGCTCTCGGCTGTAATCGCAATCTCGGCTTTCTTTCGCCAGCCCATCTCCTGGGTCACGGGTATTGTCTTCTGCTGTATATATGCTATACGTAGGTATATAACATGGGATAGCTTAGAGTGAGACCTCCCGCCGCACGCGGTTATGACCTCCGGAGGCTGCCGGCTGGACCGGCCCAGACCCTGGCTTCCTGGTAACGAGGACACAACCCCTTCTGAACCAGCTTTCTGGAACCTCCAAGGTTGCAGATGCAATCCCTGCCGCTCATGGTTTCAGACGCGCGGTCCCGAAATGTAAACTTTTCCCCAGAAACAGGATTACTGCTCGGATGTTTATTCAATACAACATAGATCAGGTATGCCCATCGTTGGTGTGTAGCCTGCGTTAATGGAATCCGGCAACAAGAGCGAATATGGTGGGCTTTCCGTACACACCTCCGGTAACAGCCGCGGCTGCGCGTACGCACTTCGCAGAACTGCCACACCCCGCAAGCAGCTGTTACCTGAGAATGATAAAGTATGTAGTTCTTATGTATTAATTTGTTTACTCGGTGTCCTACAGGCTCCATCTACTCGACGGTCTTCGGCGTTTCGCCGTTTTCGCCGTTTCCGTTTCGTGTAACAATCATGTTTCGTTTACATAGATGCCCAGTATCAAATATAAGTATTAGATTATCTTTGATATCAGTAATGGCGGCTATCATCCTTTTGACGTGTGGTAAGAGGTCAATTCACATGACGCTGCGTCCCACACAGCGCAACATCCAAACGGACTGAAATCTCGGTCATACTTTGCAATTGGATTTCATATATCACTATTAGTTTTGGGTGTACATTGGAGCGCAATCAAACGACATACCTGCAATGTATAATGCCAATTGTCTTCACCCCGATATCTCTAAACGTCATGCAAGCATATCACCTCTACGGAATAAAACAATCACTCTCCTTAATTTGTAGGTGCCGGGGCCGTCCCTTTGCAAAGAAAGCGATCTCCGCGGCTTCCACCACCCAAGCAGGGTCCACCTCCCCCAAACTTGGATCCATCACCCAGTCACCCACCACGGGGCAAGCGATCTCTGCAAATGCCGCCACCTGTGCCGGAGATTCCACCTCCCCACATGCCGGAGCTGCCTTCTCCTCCTCCCCTACGTAGTAAGCGATCTCCGCCGCCACCGCCACCGCCACCACCTGTGCCAGAACCGCCGCCTCCCCCCATGCCGGAGTTGCCTTCTCCTCCTCCCATACGTAGTAAGCGAACTCCGCCGCCACCGCCACCGCCACCACCTGTGCCAGAACCGCCGCCTCCCCACATGCCGGAGTTGCCTTCTCCTCCTCCCCTACGTAGTAAGCGAACTCCGCCGCCACCGCCACCGCCGCCTCCCCCCATGCTTGATTTGCATCCTCCTCCTCCCTTACGAAGTAAGCGATCTCCGCCGCCACCGCCACCGCCACCACCTGTGCCAGAACCGCCGCCTCCCCTGATGCCGGAGTTGCCTTCTCCTCCTCCCCTACGTAGTAAGCGATCTCCGCCGCCACCGCCACCGCCACCACCTGTGCCAGAACCGCCGCCTTCTCCAAATCCGCCAACTCCCCGGCTTCCGGATTCATTTCCTCCCCCCCCTCGGGGTAAACGGGTCTCACCTCCGCAACCACCGGTACAGTTACTGCCGCCGCCACCCTTGCGAAGCCCGTCGCCGCCGCCACCCTTGCGAAGCCCGTCGCCGCCGCCACCCTTGCGAAGCCCGTCGCCGCCGCCACCCTTGCGCAGTCCGCCTCCGCCACCCTTGCGCAGTCCGCCGCGTCCGCCACCCTTGCGCAGTCCACCGCGTTCACCACCCTTGCGCAGTCCGCCGCCGCCGCCACCCTTGCGCAGTCCGCCGCCGTCATCTCCTCTCATTCCATCACCTCCGCCACCCTTGCGGAGTCCTCCGTCGCTGCCACCGCCTGTGAGTCCTCCGCCACCGACATCCCCTCCGGCGCTGCCGCCCACTCAGCCCCCGTCGCAGCCTCTACACCCGTGGATTCCACCACCGCCGCCGCCCCAGCTGCCTCCACCTTCCCTGCCACCATCAGTGCAGCGTCTTCCTCCACCGCCGCAAGATCAAAAACCCCCGCCACGCGCGCGGCGGCCGGTGCTCGATCAGCCGCCTCCCGCAGACTATGAGCCACCCATCGCGCTGCCTACCAGGCCGCCTAGACCCAGCTGGCCGCCACCCATGCTCTCCCCGCCATATGACTACACTCCACCCCCTTATGAACAGGAGTCCATAGATGGGTAAGGGTCAGGATGGTAATGTCATCAGTCCGGATCGATCCCCTGTCCAAGGGCAATGCATGGACCATCAGCTCACAATTTGAGCGGGAACGTACAATCATTCTCGTACATATTCATCCGACGAAGTACGTACGACATTGTACGTGATACTTAAACAATGAATTCAACAAGATGACAGAGTTCGATTGCATGTTTCCCGTTAGGACGAGCACATGACGCAGGAGATGTGTACGGACTCTGTGCCCAGTAAGCGTACGACATATACAGGAAAAGTTAACGCAGCGCTGCTTGCTGTAGCGTCTGTTCAGGGCTTAAGGATGTAGAGATCGATTTTATTTACGTAGACGACATTTCAGCTCAGGAGAGTCTATTTCAGGGGGTCTTCTTTATTGCAGGAGGGTCCGTTAGTTTAGGCTGTATGGGCGGGTGGGGTGCAGGCGAAAGCCAAATGCGCTCCTCGGTTATGAGGATGTGACGTGTAGGCCTCATCCTTCCATACCGTAAGGCACTCCGGCGAATTGCACTGGCGACTGTGGCGTTACTCTGCAAACCGTACCCCCGTACGAGGACGTGCGAGAACAGTGTTTCATGTTTTAGTCACCGGGAATGACCTGTGTGTGTGTGTATGTGTGTGTGTGTGACCTTCCCATCATGTCTGAATCTGAATGTGCGAGTGCATGTGGAGGTGTGTAGGTGCGAGTAGGAAAGGAGAGATGAAGGAGTTTGTGGCGCGTCTCGTTCGCTTGAGGAGTTAGGAATTTCGAAGCGTTGGCCCGTATCAATTAGAAGCGCTACTCAGGGCGAGATAGTGAAAAGATTTCCCCTAAATTGGGATGTTGGGACGATGGACTGACTGCGTGTCCGAATGGATTTTGTTGCAGATGATATGAGCAGGATGAGGGTAAGTGGAGATCTTCCCCATGGTGACCCCCCGGGGGAGATGTCTTGGCCCTGGTTTTCGCAAGACTGTTTGCGCCTGGCACTAAACAATGGGGCTTTTTTCACGTGCACGCGAACGTGCTTGCTTTGGAATCACGCACCATGCCACATACCGTTTCGCTGGGATCACGCAGCAGACTAAAAAATCGCGACAGAAATCCTGCATTAAGTGCATTAATGAGGATTTATCTTCATCTCATCGCTTTGCCAGCCTTTTTCCCATTACTCCGTTTCCCATGCCCCTGCAGTTTGATAATGTATTTTTTTTGCACACTTGCTCTCTTGGCATGCATGTCAACACAAGCGTGCTCACGCCGTACACATGGCAATTGTTGTCTCCTGTTGTCTATTCGTCTTGCAATGAAGCTTCATTCATTCATGTGTCGCATCGTTGTTGTGAGGAATTGGCGCGAGGAAAGCCATGTAACGCTGAGATTTCCGGGCGCAGCACCTGCGCGGGATGGTGACATCCATCTACGTCTGTGCGTTCTGAACCTGCGATGAGAACGACCGTGTGTCATTAAGATGTTTGCATTTGAGCGGACTTCACTTTTCCACGGTCGAGGGAAAGGTGTACTCCTAGACGCACGGAACGACATCCTGAAACAAGAGCCATCCATGGATTACTTTACCATACCTGGGGAGATGTCGTACACAGAAGCAGGTTCCGTCGTGCTGGGAGCACATGCGGCCCAGCAATGGCCATGGGCGTGAATGTAAACTGTCACATGCTTCGCACATCATCGACACGCATCGCACATCATCGACATGATGCATCGCACAGATACCAAACCCCACGAGCCCGTGTGAAAGGATATCGCATAACGGTCCAGAAACTACCACTTACACGAAGATGCATCTCCGCAAATTGCTGGGCACCTTACAAAGTGCGTAAAGCCCCAGTGATATGCTAGCCTGACGCCCCACCAGCACCTCCATCCAAAACTGCCAAGACGGCATTCTAACAGCCCCTACCCAGCCGGACACCTGGACAAGGCCAAAGAACGAAAGCCGCTACGCAGCGGCGTCGATGACACCTCCATTTGGCCTCTGCAACGGAAGGACATGGCGGCACACAGGAGAGAGGCAGCCCCCGAACAACACCCGGTCACGGCCTCCAGTGCCATGGGGACCCGTGGGACCCGTGCTCGCCTGCCATCATCACCCGCAACGACACCCCGATGCATGCTGCCGATGTAGGATGTCACGCAACGAACTAAATTCGACAGCCCAACGCGTTGTCTAGTTCGAGGGCCCTACGCAACGCACATTCGAAATTGCGAAAAGCACCCGACGTTGTCAGTCAGTCCGCATTCTCCACCCCACAATCAGCTTTACGGCGGTTCGCAACCTGCTGCAACCACCCAACATACATCAGAGGGCGTCATTCCATAGGGGCAGCGGCCCCACCTTATTTGCTCTATAACCCCAGCCCTTGGGACAGGCGCACGCCTTCCTCAGCCGCAGAATGCATGCCTGCTTGCCACGTGGGACACTATCAAAAAGCAGCGTTCCGGCAGAACCGCCCGCAATAAACGGGCATGACGACCAGACTGGCTATACAGCCTGCGCAACGAACAGGCCCCCAGCCGAACAGTCAGCACCGGTCTGCACTTCACTCTGCTCGCAGTTTCGCCCCAGTACCACTGCAAGCGTCAACCGATGTAACTGAAAGACAACCGACTGCTTTTCATGAGCTCAGCCTACCATGGACGGCCTCTTGGAAATGACCCCCTCTACGCCTTAGTCCCAACCTCTGCAGGTGAACACCCAGTTCTAGCGAACGCTACCCGGGGCACGCCCTTGTCGGGATTTCCGCTCAACTGCGTGCGCCACCCGCGCTGCGTCTACGTGCGGCCTCGTCCTCTCCAGCCATGATAGTTTCCCATCAGGGGTGGTGGGCAGGTTGAAGTACAGCGCCGGCTCCAGTGGCACGCTACCTCGTAGCATGGCACGCTTGATTTGCGCGCGCCGCTTCACGAGATCCTCGACTATCAAGTTTTGATACGCCCGTTGCGAGGTTGGGCCGGTGGACGACGCTGCCGCAGCGCGGGCGTTGGCACCAGCAGCCATGAGGACCTCTGGCAGAGGCTCTACGTTGATGTAACGCCGCTCCTTGCCGCCGGGTCCTGTCCCCGTCGATACGCGGACGGTTCCCACGTTGGTTGCGAAGAGCGTATGATCCCGCCCTAAACCGACGTTCTGGCCTGGATGAAACTTGGTACCGCGTTGCCGGGCGAGGATCATTCCCGGAAACGCAAGCTCGCCGTCAAACATCTTCATTCCCAGATGCTTCGGGTGCGAGCCCACACTTTGCTTTGCTGTACCACCAGCTTTCTTAGTGGCCGTTCGGTGCTGTGTAAATACCCCAAGCCCTTCCGAAGCACTAGGTAATGCGCCCTGCTGCAGCGCCGTGTTCACCACTCCCCGCAAAAGAGCGATGGCGCCATATTGATTACTGCAAAAGGAGGGCAACATAATACTGTTGTTCTGTCCTCGTCTTGATGTTCTAACTTGGTCCTAGAAATAGCTAATAGTTAATACAATTGGGTTAAAAATTGCAAAGGTAAAATGCAACAAGGCATTTGGGTAGGGCGGTGGCATTGTCAATTGTGCTTGTGTCGTCCAAATCCATTTCCATGTCCGAATTCACTGTCAACCAGCCAGCCAGCAACACATGCCCAGTTTCGCACAATATAATTATTGTGAAGTTATGTTTATTCCTGTACATATGCATTTACATGCACAAGCAATGTTGACAGCTCGACGTGATGGAGCTTGACCAGAGCAGGATGACTGAAACGGAGCAGTCCCATTCTACCCTTCCTAACTAGTGATAGATGACAAATTCAAGCATGTCGAATACACAAACTGCGCGTCGCTGCGTAAGCTTGCTGGACCTAATTGCGGTGAATGCGGAGCAGGCCACAGCGTTTGGCCCAGAGGCGCGCCACCTATATGAAAAGCTGGTAGAGATGCGGCCTTTTCTGGAGGAATTTCTGACTGGTCGCTACGAAGATCCAGCCCTTGGCGAAGCACTCGAGGTACGGCTTGGCTTACAATGTTCCATGCCCCAGCTCGTGCTTCCCACCTTCAGCGGACACAACCCCGCTGACTGCTACCGCGCACACAGGACGTTGAGGCATCTTTGCGCAGCTTCTCCACGGCTTCGCAGCGCTGCTGCTCTCAAGGCCCCCTGGAGACGCTGCTCACGGCGGACCAGCTTCTGCTTCAGCTCGTGGATAGCTGCTTGCGTGTGCGTTGTGGACTTGCGCGGCTTCTAGGACACGGGCAGATTTCGACAGTAATGAGAGCCCAAGCGAACCTGACGTCCTCGCAGCTGGGCACCGCAACCGTCAACTTCGACACCCTGCGCCGCCTTCATGGTGTGCGCCTGCAGCTCATGGAAGAGGTGATCTGGTAGAAGTGATCTGGCAGACACTACGAAACGAAAACTCCCCCTGCCATGATATGGTCTGCTGTGCATGCTGAGCTGTGCTGTAAAAACACGACGTGCTGTCCTGAAGGGCGGGCTCTGCGCCAGCACGTCTATGCACCACGACCCAATTCACCGACACCCCAGATCTATGGTCTATATGACGCAATGAGGGAGAGAGTCTCTCAACTGTGTTTGAATGCGGAGTTGTTATCATGCATTTCGATTAGCTTTCTAATATGAGTTTTCAGTATCACAGCTTCCCTTCTGAGCATCTTATTCCTTAACGTCCCTGCAGGCCGAGCGGATCCGCCTGGGCACCAGTGGTGATGGCGCCTTTATGTCGCAGGTCCACCTCCTGGCCGCCGCCTGCACACACCGCCAGCTTGACGCCGATGTTGCTTTTCTTGCACACCGTGTCACGGCGACGGAGGCCGAACAGCAAACCACCACAGCCCACTTCCTGAACCTGGCCCTACGAGCCGTCCAAAGCCTAGCTACAACTCGCAGCGGCAGTAGCAGCAGCACCGGCGGCCAGCCTGGACCAAAGCGCATCACCGCCTTCGCCAGTCCGGATTCAACATCACCACCAAGACCAGCCTCCCGGGGCCAGGTAGCCTCGGTTCCGGCCCTTACTGGCGCCCTAGCGCAGCTGCAGGTTCAAATTACATCATCACCAAATGCGGACCGTAGCACACAGGTGGAGGCCATGTGCCTTGCCCTAGAGGGTCCAGAGCAGGCGCGAGTGCTCCAGGTAGGGAGAAGCTGCCTGGCGATGCATGCTCGGGTAAACCTGCGCAGGCCAGGCAGGAACTCCTCCATCGGCTGCAGACGGCTCGGAGGAGAGGGGTGGATCCAGGCAGGCTGGGCATATGGGGGCTCGTATGAGCCCGTTACACCTTCGAAGGGTAACGCAGCAACGCCATAAGGTGCAACACACATACATGCACACACATCTGGACCACATCGGCGTGTGAGAACGCCAGCAGTCTGTCTATATTACGCAGCACATTCGTAATATACACTGCTGAGTGTGGACCAGCGCCTTTCCGCTTCCTGTTTCCTTTTCTGCTGCCTTTCTGGAGAGCAGGCTCTGGAGGAGGAGGGAGGTGTGAGTGGCGTTTTGCGCATGGTGGCCACGTGCGCTCAGGGCCAACGCAGGAGCCTTCCATTACGACTGCTGACGGCGCTGCTGGCGGCAGATCCTGACGCTGGCGACGAGCTGGCCGCGGCGCGCGGTTTGCAGATGTTGATGCTCCTCCTCACGGCCTGTATGGAGGCGGCCTCTCGGCGAGCAGCGGCCGCTGCCGCGGCGGCAGCAGCAGCAGCTGCTGCTGTGACCGTCAACGTAGTAGGCAGGTCACCTATACGGCGGAAAGCCGGGCTGGTGGGGTGCAGACGACCGGGCGGCGAGCTTGAATTGTCGCCGGGGGTTGCGCGTGTGCAGCAGAACGGGGAGGAGGAGGAAGAGGAGGAGCGGGGTGTGTGCCTGTTGGTGATTGGGCTGCTAAGACAGCTGAGCGCTTCACATGCGGTGAGTTTCTCTCTCTCTGTGTTTGTGTGTGTGTGTGTGTGTGTCTGTATGTTGGGCTGCTGAACAGTATCCTCATATGCTGTTCCGGTTTTTCGGCACATGAAGCATACACGCTTCATAATCCTTCCCCTCGTAACTGTTTTTCATGCTTACTTTTAAACAGTCAGCCATCGCAAGTAGGAAGCATGACTTATTGAATCGTTGCTGCCTGCGGTGCAGGCCGAGTTGGTGGCTGCTGGCGCGGTCAAGCTCCTGTGCCAAGCTGTGAGCCTTCCCGGTGGCGGCAGGGTTGCCAGCGCCGCGGCCGCGGCGCTATCCGACCTGGCGTGCAATGGCGCGGCAGTGATAGAGGTGGGCGAAGCAGGAGGTTGGACAGCAAGCCTTAAGCAATGCTGCAGCAGCAACAACAACAACAACAACAGCAGGAACAGTGCAAAGCGACACGATGTGTTGACCTTGTTTTATCTACAGGCCGCTTCCTCATGCTTGGGTCTGCAGCGCTCGTTCCCATCTATCATATCCTCAACCCCCGCGCTCCTTGTCTCATGGGTCACGTGTGCTGAAACCCCTCCAGATGCTTCAAGAGCGACTGTTGGTACCGTTAGCCGACCTGCGCCTCTCCAACCGCTCCTCGGAGTCCGCTGCAGCGCTGGCGTGTACGGCCGCCATCCTCCAACATCCGGCAAGATTGCCTCACCAACAGCAACACCAGAACCGGCAAGACCCCCAGACGTTGCCAGGACAAGCCCAGGATGTGCAACAGCTGTGTGTCGATATGGGCAGGGCGTGTGACGGCGCCAGCGTATCCGTCCTTCTGGACCTAGCCGTGGAAGTGGCCGCAGCTGCCGGGGCGCCCAACCGTGGATGTGAGTAATAAGAGCCGGCGCATTTCTATCCTCGTACCTCGTATCCTAGGTTAGCTAATAACCCCACGTGTTTAACGAAAACGCTACCTACCGGCAAGGTGCTACCTTCGAGTCCCCGCATTCACCGTACCGTAAAGCTGAAGGGAGAGGGGGCGTGCTTGGGGGGCTTATGCTAAGCCGGCTGGAGTGTGGGCCAGCTGCCTGGATTGGGGTGGGCGTTAGCATGGCTGTGACGACGCTTGAAATAGAGATACGGCCATGTAGGAAGGAGGACATCGTGTCCTATTCCCTGCATTATTCCCCGGGAGGTCAGGAGCAACAGCAGCAGCAGCAGGGCCTATTGCTATTGCCCATTGCCTTACAATGTGCCGCCAAGTTTCCTCTAGTTCTAATCTCGTCTTGGGCGCCCACTTGACTCCAAGTCGCCTAGTCCATGGATGGGTGCGGAGGAAGGAACCGCAAAAGTGAGATTGGCCCCGCGCATCCTGAGATGCTGCTTGCTGTTGCAAAGGGATTCAGGAGCCTTAGCTTGGGATCCTAACCCACGCACACACACACACACACACACACACACACGCGCGCGCGTGCATGCGTGGCCGTGCACGCTCGTGTGCAGACCCCGTTGCCATCGCAGCTACCACCGCAGGCGGAGACTTCGAGCCTGGCCTCTTCAAGCTGCTGCCCTTCTGTGTCCACAACACCCAGACGCGCGCTGCGGTTCTCCAGCATGGCGCCGGGATGAGGTTGTTGCTGGACCGAGCGGCGGCCGGCGACATGGATGCTGCAACCACGCTGCGGCGGGTCGCCAACGACGGCGGCGGCTGCAAGACCGCCGTGGTACGGCACCTGGCCCAGGTAGGCTGAGCGTCGAAGTCCAAAAGTCCAAAATGTAGTGGTGTGGCTACAGCACACCTGCAGCCACGAAGCGTGGATGAGGCGGGTGGCCTGATGGCGTGCGGCCTGTGTGACTTTGACCCCGTATTGCCCGGCCATCTTTGAGCCGCAAGCATTGCCTGAAACCGTCTGTTGCATTCCGCCTGTGGGCTGTTTTGGTTTACTGCCGCATGGACCGCAGACCCACTCAGGCTGGATAGGGCAGCACGGCCTGCTCCTGCTCCTGCTCCTGCTCCAGCCACTCCTAGTTGCTGCGTCCCACGCCCCGCTAGTCCATCATCCACCATCACCATCGTGCTCAGTATATAACCATTCCCGGGCCGCGGTTTCTTCGTTGTCCTTGCCTGAGTTTAATGGGTCTTGTTCTGTGCCCCACCATACGTTCATCTTCTCCAACCCCCCTGAACCCCACGCTCGGCTCGGCACCCCATGCCCTTGGCGCGGTGCGGCGCGTGAGTCAGATGTTGGTGGCGGCAGGGAACGGTGGTGGAATCGGAGGCGGAGGCAGCTGTTCGGGGCCTGGCAGCGGCGGCAAGCAACGGGCGGTGGTGGCCATGGCCCTGTGCCTGGCAGACGTCCTTCGACCCGCCAGCCGCGACCGGTCTGCGATGCGCTGGTCGAGCGATGCCTGCAGCGAGTGCGAGCGGTGCGGCGTGCTACAGTCGCTCTCCGCCATCGCTGCTAGCCCAGACGCAGCTTCCAGAGCCGCAGGTAAAGGCCTTCCGACCAGCTCTACTCCCACCAACATCAACGCCGTGATCCCCATCACGGCAACCCTTCCTACGGTTCATTTTCTTTCTTCAACCCTTTCTGCACGCCTTCGTAACCATTCTCCGTTTCCTTAACGCCGTCCCATATCTTTATCGGCGTTGCGGATGTGCAGGCCTGGCCTGCCTGCACGCGCTGGCGGTGTACGGCACCCAGGATGTGTGTACGGCACTTGGCAATTGTGGCGCCGTAATGGTCCTTGTGGATGCGGCTAAGCTTGAGGGCGTGGCCCTGCAACCAGCAGCAACAGCAACGGAGGGGCCTTTCCTGGTGCTACAGCCACCCATCTGTGAGCCTCACACGCTGGGTCACGCAGCCGCGGAAGCCCTGGCAGCCCTGGCAACTGCCTCAGAAAGTCTGCTGCAAGACGTGACCATGCAGGTGGGCGACCGTTGGTGGTTGGTTGGCGGTGATTGGTTGTTGGTGGTTGGTTGGTCGATGGTGATTCAGGCTGACGTTCACGCTATCCGGCCGCCAAGCTGGCGGCTGTTGTTCTCCCTGCAACCCTAGTCCTACTAAATGAGTGGATCTTGCTGCAGTTGATTAAACAATACCCTCCTGCCCCAACCACCAGCTGGCCGCGTTCCTGGGTTCCTCAAGTCCCCACCTGGCAGCAAGCACGTGTCAAGCGCTGCGAGTGCTGCTGGAAACATGTCCGGCCGCGAGCCAGCCACTAGCGGCGCAGAGCGGCATCATGAACATCCTGATAGCGCACGTGTCCAAGCTGCCTGCTTCATCCACGTACGCCTCACCGTCCATATCGACAGCAGCGGCGTCACGCGGCAAGTGGGAGCGTGGCGGTGGAGGCGGCTCCGTTGGCATCGCCGGCGATCCGGACGTAGCGGAGCTGCTGCAGCAGCGGGCGGTTCGGTTGGTTTGGGCCTTGTGCCGTGGCGGCGGTGCCGCGGTGGAGGCGGCAGTGGCGGCCGGTGCAGCTCCGGCCCTGCTGCAGCTTGTGGCGACGGCGCCGCTGCCGCGGAACATGGAGGCTGCGGCGGCGCTGGCGCCGCTGCTGAAAAAGTCCGCAATTGCCCGGGAGGCCGTGGCCGCAGCCGCCGGACTGGACATATTGCTGGACGTTGCGTGTGGCGGGGCTCGAACAGGCCACCTGCCATTATGGGAAGATGCACTAGGTGCGGTGGCAGCACTGGCTGCGCTACATGCGCCATGCCGCGCCGAGGCGGTGCGGGCGCTGCGGCCGATGCTGGTGCGCGGGACGGTGCAGGAGGCGGCTGCGGCAGCGGTGGTGGTTGAGCGAATGTGCAGCGCCGTTGCGGGGCGGGAGGCGGTCCTGGCGGAGGATATGGCTGATTCGCTGGTACGCCTTCTGAGCACAGGTGCGGAGGCCCACTTAGACGATTCATTCAGTTCCAGATTGCATATGCAGCTGAGCTGTAAGATTGTAGCACTATATGTTAAGTTATGCCCAGACCCAGGTCCTGAAGTCCTTCGTCTATCTGCCTTAAGTGTGACTAAGCTCAATGACTGGCCTCATCACCATCGCCGCTGCCTCGCTCCCCTACATTCAACTGCACAGGCGATGACCGGGCCAAGGCTGCCGCGGCGAACGCCATTTGTCACCTGGCGGTGCCGGCCTCGGTGTCGCTGCCACCCTGCACTGCGCTACCTGCCGGCGGCACCATCAAGCCGCGCCAAGTCTTGGTCCGAGCTGGCGCCGTATCAGCGCTGTTGACGCTGCTGCGAGATGGCGGCGAGTCGCCGGCTCCATCTTCCGCCGCCTCTTCAGCCTCGTCTGGCGCCACGCCTTCCGTCTCGGGTTCGTCTTGGGTTGCTTCGTCCGCATCTGCATCATCTTCCTCCTCCTCCTCCCAGGCTTCCGCCGCCAGCGGAGTTCACCACAGCCCTGCAGATGCGGCGCTGGTGGCGGCAGCGGAGGCGCTGGAGAGCCTGGTCGCTGGAGACGAGGGCGTCCAGGCTATTCGGTAAGCTCAGAATGGATGCGGCAGGCGCACGACGCCCATGGGACGTACGCGGCTTTTGCATGATTGAGATGACCGTGAAAGACGACACCTGGACTACTAGCTGCAACTTAGAAAACTTGCCAAGGTCGGACAGTCGCCCACTTCTGCGCCTTTCCTTTCTTTGCAGGAATGCTGGCGGGGTGGAGGTCCTGAAGGCCGCCGTGGCGAGAGGCAAGCGACGACTGGTGCCCGCAGCAGCAGCGAAGGCCGCCGCTGCTGCGCTTCTCCAATGCGTTTAGAAATGAACGCGCCGCTCGCCGAAACCCTTTTCCTCTTACAGAACATGTAGGAGCAAGGCGCAACGAACACAACGCCTCCCCATTCGTGCAATAAGTACATTTCCATTATACGTGTTGTACACTATCCCACGCTGTCTTCTTTTTGGCGCGCACTGGATTCAGCGCCCACTGGATGCGCTTTACCAAAGCCCTTACGTCAATCGCCGACTCTTGCGGTGACATGCCTTTCCAATACTTTTCGATTTGCTCCCACCTGCTGTTCCTTGCTTTGTTGCGGACCCAGAGAGCTTAAATTGCCACTCGGTAGGGTACCACCGTGAATGCTCCGTGGTGTTGTGCTTTGGTCCTGTGCAGCTGGTTAACACTGGATGTACTGACCACGTTCTTACGGACGACTGCTATCGCAAAAAGCACACAATTCGAAGCGCTCCTCGTGGTGCCCGAGAAGCCCACAAAACCCGCAAAGATCGACCTCCCATGCTGCACTTGGTGCAAGCCTAGAGGCCCCACAGCGTTGCGTTGAGTCCAGCACCCCAGCGTAGAGCGAGGCCCTTCTTGCATTCTGAGCGGACTGTTTCCTGCTTGTCGCGTCATACGACTGTAGCATCGACAAAACATGTGCGTACGGCTGACTGTGAGATGCTTCCATCCCCTCGCACGCGGAGTTGGGATCCTTGCCACTAGGGCAGCACCTCTTCACAATGAAATCCCAGATCCCACGGTAATACGTCAACAGTAACAACGGCGACGAAGGGCAATAATGAAGGAAGACATGCATTTAAAAACTGGCCAAGAACTATGAACGAGAAATTAATGCAATGTGGAGAGAAGAGAGACATACATTCCCTTCACGTTTTGTAAGCATCGCCCCTGAAGCAACAGCCAAAACACCTGCAACATCATCCAAATCCATCCTCCAACACCTTTCCTCCTTCCCAGCCCCACATCAACCAATAGCGTTCGCCTCTGCAGCACCTGCCGCCGCCACCGTCCGCTTCTTGATCCGCTCCACGACCTCCACCGGCAGCGCCCAAGTGGGATCGATTGGCGCCAGGCCGGGGTAACCCATCAGCGATAGACCAGCGATGCCGAAAAAGGTGTGGTATATGTCTGCCATGTCGTCGGGGCGGTCGCTAATGCCGCCGTCCTCCTCGTCTTGGCAGTCCAAGATAAAACGAGTCAAGGCGTCCCGATCAATCCAGTGCAGGCGACCCAGGATGCTCAGGCAGGAGAGACACCACCAGGAGTAGCAAACCTGTGTCAAAGGAAGAAGTGGAAGGGATTCAAGAGTCAAAACACCCAGGGCTCAGGCGCTGCTCAAGGCGCCTCACACTCGATGAGAGACGCGGTTGGGTTTGATCCGGTTCCGAAAAGCAAAACAGCTGGAGGAGTAATCTCGAAAAGGCGAGGGAATATGTATGGGTTGTTGCAGGGGCGCCAGCTGCTACACAACGGCACTGCCGACTAGGAAACACATGAGGAGCAGGACCCGAGAAGGGCGCCGGAAGGCTGCAGTGGCCCTTGCCGCGGCTTGCCTACCTATAAAGAGTATATACCGCCCAACAGCCCGCATGCGCTGTGCTGGCGCGAAAGCAACCCGCCCAATCTCTCCGCGGCGCAAACACTTCAACATCCCTGTCACCACTATCATCGACCAAAGTAACGAATGGTTGTGCAAACCACCTCACCACACAAGTAAAGCTAGACAAAACTGCAGCAAAATCCTTCACTTACATCCTGCAGCTTCTCGGGTCGTCCGTTCAGCCCGCCGGTCTTGGTCTGGCGTTCGCAGAGCCTGCATTCAGGGACACCACCATCACCATAACGTCAGCAGGAAAAACACTTCAGAGAAAGGATCAACGCTGCGGCATGGCTCCCAGTCACTTTAAATGCTGCATTTACTAATTTCTCTTCGACTGCCGTCCTATGCACCAGGGTAGCACAGCTATAAGACCAACACCGTCATCAGAACTCATATCGAGCGGTCAAAGGCCTCCTCACCGCTCTCATCCAGGGTCCTTGACTTCCTCGCTTCCTAGCCCCTAACCGCAGCTCCTGCATTACTGTTGCCATATAGTATTCCCGCACTTACCCATGACGACCACATCCGTAATGCCCTTTCCTTCTTCACCTTGGTAAGGAAACTCTACTTGCCCAACCATTCACCCAACCGACGACTCACCACCAGCAGAACAAGTCCCGGTCCACAAGATGAAGGGCGTCCGCCAGAGATAGCGCCCCAATGCACGTGAACACCTGGCCCGCGTGGGACTCGTTGCCTGGTCAGGCAACCCAGACAGACAACACCCAGCACATGTTCACTCCCTTCGTCACAGACACACGACGCGAACCACGGCACTCATCAAGCGTGACACTGCAGTCGAGATAGTCTGTCTGTAAGGGCCCGTAGCCCTCCAAGCTGTGCATGGAAATGCCGTGAAAGGTTAGATTTGTCCAGCATGCATGATGAATGTGTTAATGAACAAACAGCTGTGTTGCCTAAATTAGGCCCAGGAGGAACAGGATGATCCTGCCGACCACGCATACAGCAGATCTTAACATAATGCTTGCAACATGTCTGTAAGACGCCCTTTGGAAGCACATGGCTTAGAGGGCACCTGTGGGGCCTGCGCTCGTGTGCACGGGTGCGGGAACGCGCATGTGCAGATCTGAAGGGGATGTGTGTGCGGAACTGAATCGCCCCCCTCGCCCAACATATTTCGAGCGCCTGGACCGGCCATCAATGGGTGGGATTTTCCTTCCCCTTCTTGCACGGGCAAAATGCGCTTTTGTGCTCGCTCTTCAGTGATGTAAAGGAGGCGGACATCGCTGCTGCTGTGACTTCCTTTCCACGAAGCCGGTGACTGCGAATCTGGTTTTTCCTTCACCATTTTTTGTCCCCTCCATACCGCCGCTGTGTGCGCCTTCCTACCTGGCGTGCAGCCAAACCCCCCGTCAAAGTTCTTGCAGCGCGCTATGAAGTCCAGCGCGGCCGGCATGTTGATCAACGAGGTACGGCCCAGGATGGAGAGACACAACAGGGCGCAGTACGTGAACCTGCCGTAGCAATTGTACAGCAATTGTAATAGCAGTACAGGTGTGCACCGTACCTAAGGACTTAACCAACTAATTTACCGGTCAGCACGATGAGGTCACCCTTTGAATGTTATCCAAGGGTGCCTAGCTGGACAATTGGGAGCTGGAGGGATACCGGGATGGCTTCTCCGAACGCGCCGTGTGCTACCAGGCAGCTACGGTGCAACAATGGCATGACAGGGGGGTGCTCATCATATCCCTTTCAGAGAGGAACAGCTGGATGCTAGACACAATCGCCATCCTCCCTATGATCGTCTTTAGCATGGTATTTATATATTATCATCGTCAGCAGTACTAGCAGCTGATGCAGCAGCAGCTCCCGTTGGCACCATCTTCGTTGAAACAACGGCAGCGGCAAAAGCTTAGGTTGAAATTGTGGCGCGGGGCATTCCCAAGAGACACCCACGTGGAATAGGCATGCACGCCGCAGCCGCCCGCGTACCCATCACATTGGCAACAGCAGAGAAGTGTCGACCTCCGGATGACCGCCACGTCCTGCCCTGTCCCGTTCCGCACCTGCCTTGCCCCTGCACGCCTGCTCCTCCTAAGGTTCCACACGCCATTCTAAGCCTGCAACTCAACTGGCAATATTATTCGCGCGGTTGTCCTGTGTGGCTGTTCTGTCCCCTCAGGCCCCCAGCCAATATCGTTTTGCCCTCCACCAACTCGAAAACTCGCCTTGCCCCTATCTCAGCGGCGGCTGAAGGGAGCTCACCTTGTGTCGATCTCGCCCCAGGCATCACCCGCAAACGACCCATCGGGCTGCTGCAGACCCGCCACGTCTGTACAGGTGTGCCGCGGCAACGAAAACCGTTTAGCAGGAGGGAGAACCCCATGCCCCGGTATTTGTGACACAGACAGAAAGTGAGAGTAAGACGGAGGAGGCAGTACAGGGTGGCGGATAGGGTGCGGCAGGCAGGGAGGAAGTCCAATCGGGCGGGAAGCAGAAGCGAGGGCCGTCAGGTCCATTACTGGTCGAGGGAAAGGGGAACATCCGCGGCCTGAGGAGTGTAGGGGGGCCTGCTTGTCAGAAGGCAGCTCCGGAACCGCACCAATCCTCATCACCAACCCCATCACACCGCGAAACAATACCACAAAGCGCGCTGCATTGCACCGTACGGCCCGGCATCCAGGGCAAAACGTATGGTGGCCCCAGTGGGTGAGTTCCTCGTTGTTCCGCTTCGCGTCCCCCGCCACGATGAAAGGCGAAATGATCCATGATAGCCAGGGTGACTGCCACGGCAGGGCCACCGTGCCTTGTGGCCTAAAATGTGTGCACGCGTACATACATACATACATACATACATACACACATACATACATACATACATACATACATACATACATACATACATACATACATACACACACATACATACATACTACTGCACACGCACGCACGGGCTTCCAAGCTCACAGGAAGCCACCTTGTCAGCGTCCAGCTCATCCACTTTGTCGTACAGCGCGAGGATCTGTACGGCGCTGAGTGTATAGAGCATGTGGGGGTCGTTGCGCTCGCTGCCGCCAAAGCCACCGCAGGGGTGTTGGCAACGCAGCACCCACGATACGATAGCGTCTTTATCCATCTCGTCCAGCCGGCCCGTGAGGTACATGGCTGACAGGCCCCAATACATTCCGCTCATCCAAAAGTGTTCCGTGGCGACGAATTCCAGTTTGTCGGGGTTCTGTGGAAGCAGGTCATGTGCGCTTTGTGTGCCGAATGCTGGAAAGAGACGCTATTACGGGCGTATCAGTCAAGTATCAGTCACGTGAGCCCCGGGAATTAGCCAAGGAGGTATCACCAGCGTGGGAAAGTAGTATTGTGCGGCTAACTGCCGATTTACGGAGAACGCCGGGCTGTGAAGGTAGGGCTCTCCCGCATTAAGTGCATATGCTTGGCCCTTCCATCATAGGAACTGCATGCATTTGCAAAGTGGCACGCCCCACCTCCCACAGCCTGGAAAAAGACTTGATGTACGCGGCATGCTTGTCTACCAATAACGTCCGCCGTAAACCCTGGTCATCTGAAACTTCTTGATTTGAAGCCATCAATATAAAAGGACTGTGTACAGCAACTAGGAATGCCTTCCAGACTTTTGCATGGTACCACGCTTCCCTGCAGTATAATCTTTAAACGTGTTGCCAGACGAAATAAAAAAGTAACTATTGGCTTAAGTTTTTATAGGAGTCCCTCTATGGTCCGGGTACGTTGTCCAGGCGCACATTGCCTCCCTGGAAGTTATTCGTGCCGGACCTAGTGTACCTCCACAGTTTTTCTAGGTTAATTCTCGAAATTGCACTTGAGTAACCTTAGTGTATTTTCTAAATTGAGATGAACTCGATAAGCTAACAACCGGTCGATAAGAGCTGGAAACTCAGAGTGATAGAGCTCCCTGCTCAGCAAGCAGGCGTGCAATTTCCTGCACGCGTTTTGTATCATATTGCCTGTCGGGGAGTGAGGAAGCAAGGAGGGCAGTTCGGCCTTTTTGGAGGACTTTTTGTAGTTGCCAGGACAGCACCTTCTGGTGGCTTCCAATATGTGAGCTGTGATCTTTTTGAGTAATTGGTTTTTGCGGGATGCAGCCCACCGTGCGGGTTCAGCTTGTTTCCCAGTTTGGAGGTCTCTACCAGGACTTGGATGTACGTTTCCCTTGTGTCGTGTATAATGTCTGATACGACTTGCAGGTTGAGCTTGCTGGGAAGAGTTCAGCGGGTTACCAGACGGAATGGCTTTTAGAGCGTGAGGACGCCGAAGCATGGCCTCACAGCCAGCTGGAGGCCAACGCCAGCATGGGAACCATACTAATGGTCTCATTCGAAAAGACCGCGAGGGTCCAGGCGTGGACAAATCCAGCCGTCGGCCTACACTTGCTGCGGACGACGCGGACGCTGCAAACATACTGCAGGCGTGGGACAGGGCAAGGGCAGCCCAGGATGCCGGACTGCAGCGCTGTGTACATACTGACTCTGGGGTAGGGCCGGAAGTCAGCAGAGCAGCAGCAGGTGCGGCACAGCTGTTTGCGATTGTGTTAAATTCTTGTCACCAGCTTACGCAAGAGCACTTTTGGCGACACACAGGAAGCTTACACGACGAAGACGCGCCGGGACACACCGGAAGGAAGCACCAGATACAGCCATCCCCGGACAACCTGACTCGTGGGCTTCTCGGTTCCGCGCGCTATCAGCACAGTTCGGCTCACAATTCTCGGCAAAGTGCCGTGTTGCCAACAGACAATACAGGTATGTGAGTACGGCCGGAACCTTGTGTGACGGCAGGCTGCAAGTTGCGCCATACAAAAAAGCCTACACCCCGTTCCCCTCTTGACCACAGGTAGCCCAGGTGTCGAGGCGCGAAGCTCTGATGCTTCGCCCCGGGATTGGTGAGTCCGGGGAAGAAGCGTCACGGCACGCCGTCTGGGTTGCCAGACTCCAAGGTAGCCAAGGCACCCAACACGGTATTATCCTCTCCCCACGCGCGCAGGGTCCAGCGAGCTAAGCAGCGGCGGAACAGCTACAGCGTTCCCCAGACCAAAGGTGCGCTTCGGTTCGTTCGTCCAGGTCACCATGACAGCACAAGCCAGGAGCTGCGTAATGCACGGCGGTTGTCCTTTAATTACAGCGCAGGTGCACCCGACACCTCGGGGTCGCGGCGCGAACAGTCCAAAAGCTGCACCATTCTAACGGCAAAGCATGGCGACCCGCTATGTCCCCATGCTTTGAAGCTGCATCGCACGCTGGCGGCACCCTGCCAAAGGCTCAGTTGCACCGCACGCGGCACCCAACCCGCTATCCCACAGTACGGCTTTGCCCTGCAAAGCACACACGCTCGCACATGGCGCATTGCCCCCGGTTGCAGCACACGCACCGATATGGGGCCAGTACACGGTCAACTTTCAAAAGCGTGCCATGGTGGGCTCTCTCTCACTCTCACACTTCCCGTCGAACCCTGTTTCCCACATGGCTCCCCCACTCCGCACCCACCCACCCACACATTCTGCCGCGCTTGCCAACTCCTTCCTTGTCCAAGCAGGTATACCAGACCTCCTCCTACCGGGGCCGGTCGCTTCCGTCAGCCAGCAGGGTACACCGGTGTTACTGCCGTCGGACGCTCCGCCACCGCAGCCATACCGGCGATTACCACCGCGGCGCGCAACACTTGATGATCTGAAGGCGGACCTCTCCCAGGCCATCAGCAACAGCGGCGCCGCCGCTTCTTCTGCAGCGGCGCCACAGCCCACGACGCCATGGGCGAGCGTAGCGATCCTGGGGCAACATGCGGCGTTGCCGGGGGGAAGCCAAGCGCCTGCCTCTCCTAAGCCGCCGTCTTTATCGGGTAGAGATGGAACGCCGACGAGCAGCAGCGGTCAGCATGCGCTGGCAGCCACCGGTGCAGGGGACGCTGGAGGCACGGTAGATGCTGGTATTCGGCGCAAAATCATCAAGATGATTTCGATTCAGCGTACGAAGCAACGGTCGATGGCGGGGAACGCAAAGCCCGGGGCGCAGGTACGGTGTGCCTGCCTGATAACGAGGAGATGGCGGGGGCGGTTATGAAAGGGAAAATGGAAGGGATCCTTCCATCTGGACAGGAACTGGCAAGGGTACGCCTAATTGCCTTGCTCTTCCGATTGGGGCTAGTGACAGTTCAGATACCAGTCCGTGGACGATTCGTGTAGCGTTCTGGATAGCACTCTGGATGGGAAGCGCCGAGGACAGGACTCTGTACGGTTGCATAGATACCGGACAACGGCCAACCCCGCATGGATTCGGACTTGGGCGAATTGGCGAGCTCGAGTCGCCATATAGTCGAGTCGATTCGCCGGCCTTTGCGACCTGTGCCCGGTAACTCCCGGAGCCGATGATGCCTTGAGGGGACAGGAGTGGATTTCAGCTACCTCACAACTGGGGATTACTGCATCTTTAAATTATTATAGAGAAATATTGTTTGAGTTGGGGGTAGCGGCGCTCGTCGACCATGTTAGGCCGTCAACGGATTGAAGCATAAGCTCGTTAAAGTTAGTATTAGCTTACTGGCGTCTCGGGTCGATAGGACTCGATACGCTTTCTGTTGGCTGGGATGGGATTGTTAAATGGAAGGAGGAGCCAGGGAAAATTGCGCCGGGTGTTAACTAGTCGTAGTGGTAACTCATCATCAACCACCGGGGCGTTGTTAACCGACCGCCGACGCGAGCGTCCTTAACTAGCACCGGCTGCGGATAGATGAAACTACCACCGCTAAACCTATCCTTCATTTTTATGAACCCTCCGGGTCATCGACATTTGGCACACGGATGGTGAGCGGAGGTCACCCGTGCCCCGAACCCAATAATGCGGTGCATGGAGAGGAGCCTCCACGGCGGGCGACAGCGCGGCCAGTCACTGAAACCAACAGGGATCTTTCCTTCGCTCGGCGAAGAACAGTGTGCAAGTCACATACGGCAATGCTGAATTACTATGCCATCCTGCGCTTGGCCAAACACAAGCACACGAGCCTACCTGTGCTCATCATAACCCTGTTTTATGATGTAATAATAAAACTTGCAGGTCATTCAGCTCCCGGAAATTCAGGGCCCAGCCACGGTGACGATTGGGGATACGGACGAGGAGTTGGAGCCCGCTGCAGGCGGCTCTGTGGAGGCACCGGGGTCAACGGGACAGGGCTCCGCAGCGGCAGTGGTATCGGCGCAAGCAACGTCGCGGCCGGTTCCGCATGACTCGGATGACGAGGACGTCGAGGATGTGCGGCCAAGCGGTGAGAGGCGCGATCACACCACGCGTTTGCACCACACCGCATTGCGAGGTGGCCCTGTGGCGCGGGCACAGGCAGCTTTCAGCCTGCGGATCCCCTGTAGTTTTCTGCACAGGGAGGGTAAAAGCCGGATATGTGGTGATCCATTTGACCGGAAGCGCGCGACACGAGCGGACGGAAGGGCATTCCCCTGGAGATGTTCGGCAAGGCTAGGGGCTCACAGCCCGATAGGAAGTTGCAGCCGGTGGCGCCCTGAAGGAATGGCCCCGGACGCAGATGTCCGTCTGCCATTCCGGGATTATGCACGGCGACTTGCTTGCGCGGTTGGGCGTGGGGTGCCTTGGGTTGGGTCTGAGTGTGTCGGGATTTTGTTTAAGCACTGAACACTGCCGTCGGAACAGTGGTGATGGAGGGGACCCGCGTGAACAGTGAAGCGCAGGGCTTTTTGCCTAGCATGTAACTGAGTGCTCGTGCTGCTCTGTTGAAGGAGACGCCCTATGCATGGCCCTCACGTCTGGTTCAATTGATTTCCTGCCCGAGTTTGGTGTTCAGTGCCTCGCTCCGCGCACCATGCGCTTGCACATCGAGGCCTTTTAAACGTCCGTTTTTTGATCCTTTTCAAACATTATGTGGTCTGGCGTTGCATAACAACGCCCCGGCGAGTCGTGATTCCCCCATGGTCTGCCAATCCGACTGATTAACTGATGAACTGCCTGGCCGGTTGATTGGCTGTGAGTTGAGTCCGCGGCGTAAACAAGCTCACGGCGAACGGGTGATCTGAGTCCTCTGCTTCGCGCGTGCTCCTCTCAACTGACCCCTTGCTTGACGACCGCATGTGCAGGGCCCCCGGCGGGCGTTTGGAACATGGGCAGCAACGTGGTGGGCCCGAGCACCAGCGAGTTGCGCATGATGGGCGCCGCAAGTAGTGTCTCGTTTAAGAAGAACACTATGAAGCAGGTGCGGTGTGATGGCGGAGGGGTGAGGGAAAGCAAACCCAGTCGATAGCGATCCCAAGGACATCGGCACAAGCAGGTTGCTGTGCCGTTGCTTGTGTGATTTACGATAGAGGATTGCAACCTGGAGAATGGCAACAAATGTCTGCACCACGGCCCAATTTCATGCTGAATTCATTTTGAGTATGCTGCCGCGTGCGTCTTGAGTTTTACTTCTTAGCGTTGCGATGGCTTATCCTTCCCGCCCCTTCTCCCTCCCTTCTGCCGTCTCGTCAAACCTCCTGCCTCCCATTCGTTTCTCCCCACCTCCGCGATGATGACTTCGGCTCGCCCTGGCAATTGCATCGCAATATGTAGGGTGTGCTACGGCCGCTGTCGACGCTGCCGCCATTCGTTCCGAGGCTATTCATCGAGGACATCACGCTCAACCACGAAAAGTACCGGGGGTTTGATGCAGCTGGACGCGACCTCACCGCTGCGTCCAAGACGCTCCAGCCCTCCATCATCGAGCTGCAGGCGAGTCCACCCATAGCGTCCAGCACACCCTGTCCGTTTTGGTAGAGCGTTATTGATTAACGAGATTGGAGAAAACGAGGTTGGAGAAAATTTGAGGGCGGGATTTGGAGGGACTGAAAAGGGTGCGGTTTAACCCCTTGGCCTGCTGCGGACTCTGGAAAGGCCTGTAAAAAGCGCGGGCCGGTGACATGCTGTGTACTGTGGTGTGGCGTGGTGTTGTTGAAATTTCTCGCCTGTTCGATTGCTACGAGACCAACAAACAAACGCGGGCTATCTGTTGGCCGGTTCCCATCGCGGGCGCTTCTACAGTGGCCCTATTTTGTGCCTACTGTCTTTATACCATATCCTGCCCTCCAGCGCTTACCTTGAGTATTGTGCCTCTCCTAAAGATGGGGATTTTCGTAGCTTTTCTTAAAACTAAACATTGCAGATTGCGGCGACCCTGGTCACCCCGGCTTGTTACCCCGGCAGGCAGCGGTGATGATTGCGGACGTGACGGGGTTCACCAAGCTCACAGAAATCCTCTCCAAGAAAGGTATATAACTCGAATGCGTCCAGTGTTGTACCATAAGTTCACGCGGCGGACGGAACTGAGAACGCGAAACAATGCGGATGAGAAGGCTTTGGGGGCGCTGTATTGACAAAGCCATGTCAAGTGTTCTCGGCGAAGACATGCCTCTGTTGCCCTATAGCACTTTCACACTCTTGCGCTCTTGCTCATCGTCAAAGCCCCTCTTGTGATGCGCTGCGCGTTACCAAGTCGACACCGACACCAAAACATACGGCGCGCCCTGTCTCGGCATGTCAGGCACTTCGGGCGTGGAGCTTCTGACAACCTGCATGAACAACTACTTCACCCGTGCGATCAACATGATCATGGCGTTTGAGGGCGACGTTGTCAAGTTTGCCGGCGACTCGATGATCGTGCTCTTTTACCCCAACGAACACGAGCGGCGCCACGCCGACAAGGGCCTCCGCGCGAGTACTCTGCGCATGATGTCCTGCGCGCACCAGCTCGCCACCAAGCTAGGGCACATGCGCATGAAGATGAACGGCCAAGTGGAGCCGGCGCCACCGCCGCCGCCCGAGCCGGCAGCGGTGCCGCCTCCACCTCAGGCGGCTCCACCGCCTCTGGCGGCGACGTCAGCGCTCATGTCCGCGCCCCTGCCGTCGATGCTCCTTCCCGGCGTCAGCAACGCCGTGCCGTCGGCGGAGATGGAGGGGGCTGCGGAGGGGATGGCGTCTGATGGGCCTGCTCGGAATTACAGCGGGCCGTTCATCACTGTCGGGTCGCGGCGCATCGTACACGGCGACTCGCCGCGCAGCAGCGCTACGAACCAGGCACTGCCGCCGACGCCTGGCGGAGGCGGCACTGGTGAGGAGGGGAGCTCTGCCGCGACGGACGCAGTGTCGCGGGTGCTGGATGGGCCGGACTTGGCGTTGGGCGGCAGCGGCAGCGCAAGCGGCGGCGGTGGTGGTGCCGGCGGCAATGGTAGTTTGCCACGGAAGCGCGGCAAGAGCTGGAACTTAATGGCGAACATCCTGAAAATGAGGACGGCGTTGCCGCGGCGCAGCGACGCCTATGGGGGAGCAGGTGACCGCCGGGGGGGAATACGGAGGAAGAAGTGGTCAGGGATGGGAAAGGACGGCAGGATGAAAGTGTTGAGGAGGGAGCGGACAGGGGTTATCGAGGAGGAAGGAGTGGGCCCTGCGAGCTCAGGCGGCGGCGAGGAGAGGTCGCGGCAGAGGAACGCAATCTCAGCTGGATCAGCGCGTGATCCTGGTGGTCGGCTGACGGTCGGCTGAGGGACACAGCACGATTGGCCCGGAATGGCGTCCCATTTAGTCCCTGCTGTGGCTTGTGTTCGCTTTGGGGTCACCTCTACTGGCGTAACCTCCTGGTAGTGGGAACCATCGCACAATTTCCAGAATGCCATGTAGACGTCGCGCAAATCGGAGGATTGCCATAAAAAAATTTGGGTTACCCTCTTTGCCACTTAATCCTGGGTTTTCGTTCATTGCACCCTAAGCACGCAATTCCACCAGCAGCACGCGTCTGTGTCTGTGTGTACATGTGATTTTGCAGGATCCACGCCTTCGGCTGCAGCGTCCTCCAGTGGCCCCTCCCGGGCGTCTTTTGAGAAGAACGAGGCGAAAGCCGCAGCTCGGCTCACGGCACGCGAGCGCGCGAAAACAGAGACCGGCTTGGGTCTGGCGCTGCGCGGCGGAGGCGGCCTGGGCGGTAGCGGCGGCGCCGCTGCCGACGGCGGAGGCGCCAGCGGCGGGGCCGGACTGTGGGCCGGCGGCGAAGGCGTCGTGCGGCGCGAAATGTCGGTTGCCACGAAACTCAACCTGCCGCCGCCGCTCCGTCCGATGCAGCCTCGCGCGAGCTTGTCGACTTCGCCACTTACTACCATGGGCAGTGGCGGTGGCGCAGCCATTGCCGCTGCTGCTGGCGGCGCATCACCCAACGCGACGCTGGCGTCCGGGGTGTACCCTGGTAGCGGCAGTGCTCTTGCCAACCTAGCGAACAGCCCGTTGACACCCGCGTCCGGATCTCCCCGGAGCTTCACAGAGCAGGTAGGAGGGGGGGAGGAGGAAAGGGGGAAAGGAGCTGTACCGGGCAGAATGGGATGAAGGAAAAGGAGAGGAAAAGAATGAAATAGGTTTATAAACGAATAGTAATAGGGGCTAAAGGAGTCTCGTTCAGGATACTAGAGGCATTGAAGAGACACTATGGGACATCAGCTACTAGGCCAGCTGCGTTGGGAAAAAGCTGGTTGTAAAAAGCCAACGAAACTTTTGAGGCGCTTGGCAATTTGAGAAATTCCATGACACACCACACGGAAAGGTGGGCAACCATACAGCAGAAGGCAATAATCCCACACAGCAGCAACAACCAAGAACATGTCCACAAAATTACTTACCAGCGCGCATGCTGCGTTGTGAATGCCGCTGTTTGACCCTCCTCCAGGCTGCCGCCAGTGGCGGCTCTTTCCGGCGAGCGCCGCTGGGTGGCCGCAGCGAGCGACGCATCGCCGGCGGCCCCGCGGGGCTGGTGGTGGGAGCCGGCACGGGCGACTGGCGGTCCAAGCTCCAGAACCTGAGCACTGCCATTGTGAACGCACCTGGCGGCACGGCGGTGCCCCGCGGGGAGGATGACCCTCTGGCTCCGCAGCGCAGTCGGCTGAGCGAGAGCGCCCGGGCGGTGCGGTGGGACACAGTCCAGGTGGGAGGTCGGGTTGGTCTGGTCTGGGTAATGGCTGGGCTGGGCCAGCGGCTATGGTGCGGGATAAACGGCGATGGCCAACAATTGACTAGCGGCTGGCACAGAGAGCTTCGGAAGGAGGGAAGGAGGGTAATACAAGGTCTGTATGTTCCGGTCCGTTTGCGTCGCTTCGTGCATGCGTATATGTCCTCGGGTCATCGTCCGACCGCAGGAGGAGGATGCCTTGGCCGAGGACGCTGCAGGCGTGGTGGGCAGTGGGTCCGGGGATGAGGACGCGGAGGAGGAGGAGGAGGAAGAGGAGGACGCGAGCTACCCGCCCATACAGGCTGACTCCCAAGGTGGTTCCGGCTCGTCCAGTCCACAGCGCGCGCACAGTCTTATTAACGCCCGCGGAAGCGGACAGAGCAGCGGCGGCGGCGCCGAAGGCGCCGCCGCCGCCGTCGGAGGCGGCAGCGGCTCCGGCGGCGGTGGCAGCGGATCCGCTGGGCCGCTGCCTGTGGCTCAGCCATCGGATCGGGTGTATTCCCCTGTGGGCAGCCAGAGCTCTGGAGTGGCTGGTCGGAGCGTGCATGCGGTGGATTTGCGGCGGAAGCTGCTGCTGCGGGCGAGCCAGTCGGACAGGGATGACATGCACTTGCGGCGCGGAGGAGGGTCGCAGCGAGATGACGCGTGAGTGCTGCTGCTGACAGCTGCTACAAGTTGGTGCTCTGTTGCTTGCCCGCATGGGATGATGTCTCGGTGGTTGGGGGGGCCATCTGGGAATGGGCTTGGGATTGCACGAGGTGTGGCGTCGGGCTGGGTGCAGGGGCGGTTAGCATGTGAGCAGCGATGGGGAGGGTGACGATAATGCTGATGGTTGCTGTGGCTGACAGCTGTGGCTGTGGCTGTGGCTGTGGCTGACAGCTGTTGTGGTCTTGGGCGTGGTCATGGCGCCTGCAGTGTAGGAAGGCGGCTCACTTTAGCCCAAAAGTAAGAAGCAGCTACGAGTACAGGGATTTGCCGACAAGCTTTCTCGAGCTTACGTGTGCCCTCTTATTTTTCAGAGGCATTTATGGGGTTCTCAACTTACACACGCACATTCGCTCATCGACACTCGTTTTTATAGCTTCGACGCTTGTGTCCTGAAAACACAATGACAGCCCGCCTTCACGGTATATGTCGGCACCTTATGTTATTGCTGCTCGGGGTTAACGAACATGATTAGCGGAGTTTTTCATGTGCTTCTAAGTGGCCCTTGCTATCATGTCAACACACAGCTCATACGCGCACTCGCACACAGGTTGTCGACCGGGCCGGGGCCGGTGGCCGAGGCTTCAACCGACTCTACGGGTGCTACGTCAGTGGAATCCATGCCAACCTCGTACGATGGCCCCTTGCTGAACTACGCCGACTCGGCGGCGGTGGCGACGTCCGAAGGCTCCGTAAGGCCTGTTGGGCCGTCATGGAGTCCGGGCCCTAGCTCCGGCTTGGGACCAGGACCCGTGGCGGAGGCCTCCGAAGACGTGGGACATGGACGCAGCCGCGGCTACAGCGACACAGATGCGATGAGCTCCCCCCACGGCGGGGCCCCTGCGGAGTCCAAGCAGGCAAGCTTTATGTCCAAGGTCGTCAACTGGTTCAGCGCCAATGCGCGGAACCGGGGCGGTTCGTACGTGGACTCCTTTTCGCACATGGGTCCCCAACCCGGTGCCGGTGGCGGCGGGGGTACCGCCTCCGGCGGCGCCGGAGGCACCGGCGGAACCGGCGACGCCCAGTCGGATGCGCATGGCAGCCAGCCACCCAGCGGGCCGGCGTCCGCGTCCAACTCCTTCAACTACACGACGGGACTGGCGGGCATTGCGCGGGTTGTGCCGCCTCCGAACCTGGGCCCGGGCAATGGCCCGTTGGGCAAGGCGCCACGCGGCGATCCCATCATGGAGGAGGTGTCCAACTCGCGGCTCAGCCTCAAGGTAACCCCCTACGCACGCATGCTTCCGCGCAAAAAGCGGAAAAAAGGAATTTTTTTCAAGTTACCAGAGGGTAAATAAAGGACGCGTAATTCGCGGTACGATGCGCGGCAGCGGGCGCAACGATGACCCATGTCAACGGAACCCCATCCCTGCCGATTCCCTTATCCTGACACCGGCATTATCACCTACAGGCCGGACGCGCATCCGCACCCAGACGCATCCCGTGTAATATTCGCAGGTGATGACCAGCGCTGGCAGCGTGTGTGTCTTCCACGTGGGTGGTGGAGTGGACGAGGTGACCGACCCGATGTTGCCGGAGGTGCCCCGCTGGGAGTTCTTCATCGGGGACCGGCCGCTGGCGCCGCTGCTGGACGCCAACCAGCGCCGACGCTGCATCAGCCAGGTAGGTCATGAAGTAAACTGTTAATCGATGCAACAATGTGTATTATGTGCCTCAGGGGGGGAAGTATGGTCCTTAGGGGGGTTATGGCCCTTACGTATTTATGTACCTTATGCACGCTGCCACCCCTATCCACGTGTACCCGTAGTAGGTATAACTACCTTCCTGTTGAATTGAGCCTGTGAGCTGTGACCAAAGGCCGATTGTAACCTGTGTAAGCACTGTCAGCGGGTGCACACGGGGGGGGGAAGACCCATGGGGGGCCCTCCCGTCGTAGCGCATTCGTTTGGCTCGTCATCGTTATTTTTACCAATCCCCAGCCTATGCTTGACTTCTTCTTGCCCTGCCCCTCCGCGCCGGTTAAATGTACTGCTTTCTAGCGTGGCCTTCCACCTCTACCTCACTTGTCTTCTAATAAGCGCCCGCTAATCGATGCATTTCCCACCTTCCTGCAGGTCGCTGCCATAGAGGACCAAGCGCGGGCGGGCAGTGTGGTGGCGAGCATTGAGGTGGTGGAGCTCATCCAGGGCGAGTGGGAGGTGCTGCCGCTGCCGGACAACGTGTGGAGGGTGGTGGGGCCCGCGCAGCCGGCACCCCAAGTGAGGAGGGGGCCTAAGCAACCGCAAGATAAACCTCCAGCCGCCAGGCCCTTTCGGCTTGAGACGCGGTCGCAGGGGGGACAGATGTCACAGCCTAGCCGGTTGACTGGCTTGTTGCCGCTTGCCGGGTTGGCCGACTCGTTGGCTTGTTCTCTGTTTGTCTATCTGTCTGTATGATTGCTTGACCATCTGGCTGGTTTTGGTGCTCTGGCTGGATGACTGTTGGCTAGCTTATTGGTCCCCCGCTTTAAAACCCCCGCTTTATCGGCCCGTCCGCCTTGCCCTCCCTCATCTGTCCAGGCCCAATTGCGGCTGAGCCACACGAGCATGCGCACCTCCGCCACTTCTCACACGCCTAACTGGCGCAGCAGCGACGTCGGTGTGGGCACGGGGATGCTGGTCGGCAGCTCCATCCTTCCGCAGATGGCGGAGACGCCCATCATGGCGGCTGAGGCGCCGCAAGGGGGGGAGGCGATGGAGGACCTGGCGACGCTGCAGGTGCAGTGCCGTGTCGCACCATGGGCACACATGAGTGCTTTGCACATGCTTTTTTTCCCACGCTTTCGAACTTCGGCTTTTGGCATGTTTTCAGGGAAAATACGAATGGACCAAATTATTATTAACACTTGAAAATACTTGATAATCATTGAGACATGAAGAGGACATGAAAGCGGGTTCATTACCTGCGGTATCGAACCTGTGAATACTGGGAGTGTACTGCTCTGTTATAACGTTGCGTAATGCTACAGCTCTGCTAGTGGCGTGGTGGTTATCATGGCGCGCGTTTAGTGTTGGTTCCCCTGGCCCAAACTTCCGTCCTTCAAACTTTCATGCCCAACAACAGCATCAATAGACAGCAGAAAAATACCAACTTACCTCTTGCCCGCTCTGGCTTTGTCCATCCCCCACCTGGCATTCCCCTAACCCCACCGCCGGCATCTCCTTGACCACCACCTCCCCGACCATCCGGACAATTTCTCTTCCTTTTGACGCTTTCGTGACGCAAATAAAAAAACATGCACCGCGCGTGGTGCGTTTCTGTATCTTGGTGGCTGATTTCCCGGCGGTTTCCTAATCAGGCGCTCCGCATGACCAGCTCCGCTACAAACGGTCAGCCGGGAGGTGTTCCCAGCTCCGTCGGACAGCCCTCCTATGGCCTGGGGGCCGTGGGTCACCAATCCCTTGCCGCCTCGCTCAACGGCAGCAGCGATCGACCTACGAATGGCAGCGGTGCGGAGCGGCTCCGCGCCGCCGTCTCAAGCCAGCCGCACCCGCACCACCCTGCGACCCAGTCACAGCAATCGTTGCTGGCTGCTTCTGGCATCTCCCATTCGGCGCGGTTTGAGCCCGCTGACACAGCGCCAGCGACACGCGACAGCATGGAACGTGCCAACTCGGCACACGCAGCTCCAGCCAGTCAACTCATCCAGATCAACTCTAATTCGCACGGCCAGGTGCCGGTACCCGCTAACGCCATCTCCGGCTCCCAGACGAGCCAGACACCGCCGCCTGCGGCGGCGGCAGCGGCAGCAGCAGCGGCGGCAACGCAGCTGCCGTCCCCGTCACCTGCTGCGGCCAGCACCGCCGCCTCCGGCGGCGGTGCTGGCACCACTGCCACAGCCGCGGCGGCAGCGCAGCTGCCGCCCCGCCTGCGCCACGAGTTCGTCAACCAGGCGGAGCACGTGCAACGGCGCATCGCGGGCCTGCTGCGAATGCACGTGTTGGGCAGTGTGCGGTTTCGGGTGGAGGCGGGTCACCTGGACTTCATCAACGAGATTCGGCCTTTGACGTGCATGTTCCTGGGGTTCCCCAGCTTGCTGCAGCCGCGCGACGACGTAGCCCATCGCGACCAGGTTCAGTGCGTCCAGTTCGCCTACACCAGCGTCCAAGCCGTCATGCGGAAGTGGGATGGCAGCTTTCTGCAGTTTCGAAGCGACGAGAAGGGCTTCGTAGGCATCTGCGCATTTGGACTGCCAGGCCACACCCACGAGGACAATCCCGCACGCGGCATCCGTGCAGCGTTGGAACTGGCCAGCACCATTCGGGCTGGGGGGCACACGGTTTCGATTGGCGTGACGACGGGCGACTTGCTGTGCACATGCGTGGGTGCGCGGAAGCTTAGGTCAGAGTACACGGTCTTTGGCGACGCGATCAATTTGTCGGCACGGCTGATGGTCAAGTGCAAGAAGGACCCGTCCATGGGGGAGGTAAGGTGTGGGTTGTTGTGGCGTTGCTGCGGGTTTTCGGAGGGGGAACGTGGTGGCTGCTTTGCTGTCGTCAGGTCGTGGATAATTCACCCTCGAGCCAAAAACTCAAGACGCACGACATCCCCCTCGCCTTTCCCCTCGCCTTAAATCGCGAATCCTCCTCCTCATGCCCCTTGCAAGCTCCTAACGTCGCCACCCCTCTTTCCCCTCCGCATGTTCCAAATTGCACTCTTACCGCTTGTAGATCTTGTGCGATGAGCCCACGTACCTTCGCGCCAAGTACCAGGCGTCCTTCTTGGAGCTCGAGAGGCTGCCCGTCAAGGGAAAGGCACAGCCGGTGCTCGTATACAGGTGGGCAGATGTGGAGATAAAATGAGGGGTAGAGGGGTAAGGGTATGCCTGGTTGAGAGAAGGCTGGCTTAATGGCAGCTGCCTGGTACTCCATGCTTTGTGGCCGCAGCGCCTGCATTTCAGCTGGCTGGGAAGAAGTCGCGCACGGCGCGGTTTGCTTTGTGTTGTGTTATGATGTGATGGCTCTAGTAGTGTTTTCTGAGTAGTATTTGGCTGGCGGACGGCTGCCTGGAGCAGCGCGATGTCGAGAGCTATCACCCGTTGCGTTGTTGGTAAGGTCGTTAAGGTGTCGCGATTGCGATTGCTTTGCGTTCACGACATAAGCTTCCAACAGGAGAACTCGTCGGGGCTTTGGATGCTACCGAGACCGCTACTGCTACTGCTACTGCTACTACTACTACTACTACTGCTACTGCTACGGTCGACAGGCTTTAGCTACTGTTCAGTTTCACCTCGTGAACAACCCCACTCCGCTGGCACAATGCCCCGCTATTTCCTCCGGCCTCCGGATTGTCATATTACACAACTTCGGAAAGTAGCGCAACTCAAGGTGACACACACACACACACACTCACACACACACACTGAGACACACGCACACGCGCACGCATATTGCCATGCTGGTGTCCACTAGCGCGACTAGCGCACTGACTACCCGATACTGCGCCGGTACGCACACGTGTAACTTGTACACAGAGTGGATGCGCACGACGCCGACGCGGAGGCCCAGGCGGCGCAGCAGCGGCGTGAGGCGGCGGAGGTGAGCAGCGGCGAGCGGCCGCTCATCGGCCGCGATGCGGAGATGACGTTGACGCTCAACCAGGCGGCGAGCATGATCAGCGGACTTTCACATGGCGGCATCATCATCATTGAAGGCAACACGGGTGAGTGGGCTTGGTGGGTTAGGGCTTCCGATTTGTGTCCTGAGGTTTGCGGAAGGGGCGGATTTTTGGCTGTGGGGGCCTTGCTTGGGGTATGGATGGTGCTTTGAGGAGAGGGCATGCGTGCATGCATGTTGTGGGTAGTAGGGATGCCCTGGAAGAGAGTTGAAAGAGTGGAGCGATGCGCGTGCGGATGTGTTTTGAGGCTCCAGGCACCATGTTCACCACGACGACCACGCGTACGCGCAAGCACAGCATCGTGGACCGTTCCGTACGCTGGGGGTTTTGCATGAACCCTCTACGGTCATCTCTCAATACGAATAGCTCCCACCCTTCTGTTGTTTTCAACACGCGCGCCCAACACGCGTCGTTAGTTCAAACCTCAACCTATTCCTTCTTATCTCTCTTTCTCTCTGTCGCGCGCGCATCCCTTCCTACCACCACTCCTCCCCTCCTCCGTCCCTTTCCTCCTTGCAGGCATGGGCAAGACGAAGCTGCTTATGGAGATCCGCAAAAGCTTAGAGCGCATCAACACTGACACCTCCATCAGCTCCCGACCCGCCTTCCACATGGTATTCGGCATGGCTGACACCGCCAACAAGTCGCAGAAGCTACACCCCTGGCGCCGGGTCTTTCAGGTATGCGGAATGCGTGTCGGGACCAGGAAAACTGGCAACATTGGCACCGTTGGCGGTTGGCGGTCGCCCGGCGATTTGTCGGTTAATAATCTCAGCTGTTGCACCCTCCTTCGTAGGCCCTTTGGGCTCGGATTAAAGCTTTGCACTTCCAACCTCAGGGCTGCTTTACAGCAGGCCTCCGACTACCCACATGGTCATATGCTGCACCTCATTCTTATCATATATTGAACCTTTCTGTACTTGTACAATCTCCGTACAAATTCGTCAACTGCCCTCTTACCGCTCGTACTTTTCTTTAATGTTGCGCAGGAGCTGTTTGCTCTGGATCTGAAGCTGAAAAACTTGGGCACAGTCAGCGTCACCTCCACTTCGGGGACTTCGTCGCAGCAGGGCCAGCGACGGACGGGCGGTAGCGGAGCGGGGCCACCGAACAGCCAGGGCGGTGTGGCTTGCACACAGGGCCGCCGGAGGGGCACGGAGGACGGGCCGGGCTATGCGGTCTTCACGGGGCTGGGCGAGCGGCTCAGCAGGTGAGCAGCAATAAGGACAGGAAAGGAGGGGAGGGGAGAGGAAAGGAGGGGAGGGGAGAGGAAAGGAGGGGAGGGGAGAGGAAAGGAGGGGAGGGGAGAGGAAAGGAGGGGAGGGGAGAGGAAAGGAGGGGAGGGGAGAGGAAAGGAGGGGAGGGGAGAGGAAAGGAGGGGAGGGGAGAGGAAAGGAGGGGAGGGGAGAGGAAAGGAGGGGAGGGGACAGGAAAGGAGGGGAGGGGAGAGGAAAGGAGGGGAGGGGAGGGGGTAGCGAAACGGAACGAAGTGGGTGATTCCGTTGGGGATGGATCGGAGCTGAGATTCGGCAGGTTATCCATCCGCATGAATACCATCTCTGCTATCCTGCCCGCCTCGTTTTTTTTTCCTCGCGTGCTTCCCCGGGGCCACACAATCCCTACTTTATAAAATCATTCTTTTTTGTCACATACTCATTAAAATAAATACAATACATTTTGTTTTTGCTCCAGAAATGCATGCAATTTTTTTGTGTCATGTTAAAATGGAATGTATACTTCTTTATGTTTCCCTCCCCGTTAGGGTGCCGAACTATGACACGGAGTGGCGGCAGCACCTGGCTGAGCTGCTCGACCTGCCTCTGGCCTCCATTCCGTTGGGGAGCTTGGAAGCGGAGCAGGCGCAGTACGCACAACATGACAGGGTGGCGGGCAGCCAGGGGCAAGGTCACGAGCAGGCTGCTCAAAGCGAGGGGGCTGAGCAGAATATCAGCGGCAGCGGTGCTGGTGCTGGTGGTGGTGGTGGTGGTGGTGGCAGCGGCAGCGGCGGGTCTGGCGCCAACGGCGTGGCTGCCGGGGTGCCGGCTTTGGCGATGGGGCCGGAGGGGCGGGAGCTGATGTTGCCGCCGTCTGTCGCGGGTGGCAGCAACAACGCCAATGCCAATCCTGCAGCGGGCAGCAGTATGCTTCGCTCTCCGGCACCGGTGGGACGGTTTGTCTGTCTGTCTGTCTGTCTGTCTGTCTGTTCGTTTGTTTTGTCTGTTCCTCGCAGTTATGGCGCACGCGATTGCAACTGGCGATGAGGGGCCTAACCCCGTCCGTGCACATAACCCGTATGCTGTTGTCTGCTCCGTGGATGAATCCAAGCCTGCTATTATATACTTGTGCTTGTATGTCTTGTGTTTGGGGAAAGTTCGTGCGATTGGCTCCTAGCGCTGGCAGATCAGGAGCCCGCGCCTTATCTTCTTGGCCGAAATCGTCCCACCTTGGCCGTTTTCCCACCTCTAATTTCACCATGTTGGCAGTAGGCCCTCCAATGTTCTCTTGCTTGTTTAATCCGCTCTCCACGCCGCCTGAGCTGGACTGACCTCAGAACCCCTATTCGAACCGTTGTGCAGTGGCGTGCACCCAGCATGCGACACGCCAGTATGACCATGGCGGGCACTCCGCCTGTGCTGCTGGATGCGCACACGCACGCCAGCACCATCAATATTGGCTCCGCCGCGGCTGCAGCTGCGGCGGCGGCCATTGGCGGCGGTGGCGGTGGCGGGGGTGGCGCTAGCGACACGCCGTCGCCTCAACCTCACGGCCAGGCACAGGCCCCGCACAACAGCCAAGTGGGGGCACCCATCCGCAAGAACAGCCTCAACTTCTTGGTGCATGTCATGCAGGTGCGGGCTGGGGTGTCGTGTCGTGGATTGGCGCGGCCCGATGTGTAAGTAGACGACGAAGAGTCTGCTTACATGAAGGAAGGAGGAGCAACACAGCTCGCCACCAGTAGTACACGCATTCGCAAGCTGCAATAGCTCTTTCCAGCATGCATGCATCCATGCACGGTAAAACGCATGGATGTATGGATATCCATACCAACATACAGCAGCATTTATGGCCTCAACAAGTTTCTCCGCCCACTCCCCTGCACTCCGCTCGCACCCTTCACACCGAGCTCATACCTTGGCACTCCTCCCCATATCCGCAGGAGTTCATTTCTCTGTACGGTCCCACCCTGACTTTGTTGGAGAACCTTCACGACTTTGACACGTGGTCCTGGCAGCTGCTGGTGAAGGCGGCGGAGCTCATACCCGCGGATTGCATGATCCTGGCCACCACACGACCCAACGACCTGCCGGCGGTGGGATCCAGCCATCACCTCCATGGCAAGGTGCGCGTGGGTGAGGGGGCCGTAGGGCATCTGGGGAGGTTGCGAGGGTGATATATTTATTTGCGGAAGTGTGGGAGTGCGGTTAGTGTGATTAGTTGCGAATCGGCTGGGAACTCTGTGGGTGTTTAACTTTTTTTTGTTATATGCGAAATGCTTACGTTTTTGTAATGGCGTCCTTGTTGGTTGTGCTGTCGCCGTGATGATCGTCAGTTCGTCACAGCTTGTTGATTTCATTGTCGCGAGACTTGCCTACCACTCCCATTGAGCAGGTCGCCCTGTCTTGGTCTGTCTTGGACGTTAGTTACTACCTGTCTGTCTATTTGTTGTACCCGACACAGGCAGCGCTGTACCAGAAGGTGGCCATGATGTACCGCCACCTACTCAAGCTGCCTGCAGCCACACGGATTGTGTTGGAGCCCTTCAACTTTGCACAGACCAGGAGCCTCATGCAGGTATGTGTCGTACTGGCCCATATACTTGGCGCCAGGTGGGACCCTTACGGGTTTGTCAAACAATGGCCATGTGGCCGCAACAGGCAATAAAGCAGAGCGGGGAGGGGGAGTTCTGTCATGCAGGTCTAGGTCGTATGCGCGAGCTGAAGTTTCACGTAATCAGGGAATGGATGGGTGTAACCGGAAGGTCGCTTGTCGCATGTGGACTTTGTGCCGTCCTAGGCAGGACTCTTGTCATGTTGCCCGTCTGCCTGTTACAAATCCCGATTGAGATTCAGATTCAGATTCCAATCCCCTACTAGGTATTTTCCCCTCTCTCCTGGTGCGAGCTAGAGATCCCCTGCTGCTGTGTATTTGATATGCCCGTAGCAGCCCAGGCCGATGCGCGTGGATTTACAAGGCCGGAATAAAAAGTTAGAAGCGTGCGTCGATGCGTGTTGTCATCCGCCTCTGACCTGACCTGACCCTTCAGGTTGTGGCTGATGTGAGCTACCCCGACCAGTACGTGCTGGCGGTGATGGAGAAAACGGGCGGCATGCCGCTGTACATTGAAAAGGTCACGGAGTTTCTGTGCCAGAGCCAGAAACCCTGGCTGCCTGACCAAGGGGGGGAATTCTCAGCCAACGTGAATAAGATGATCCGAAACCTCAACTTTCAACAGGTATGTCGTTTCCTTTCGGAATTCGCAGCTGACGACGCTGCTGACATCCTCTGCGCTTTTTTTCAAGGCTTCTGCTCAAGCTGCTGGTTCGGATAACCCAAGTTACCGTCTTCATTTCTCATTTCCCACCTGCAATTTTCTCCACACGCATTGACGTCTTGAGGTCGCCTCACGATTGGGTCTTGCTTTCTTTATTCCTAATGTTTCCTTCTGACTTCCCAAAAATCCGCTTCACCCTGCGTTGCTCCACCTTTGCGTCCGTCCCCCCACTCGCCCTGGCAGCCCTCGCCCCACTTGCCCTGGCAGCAGCTTCACTCGTTTGTGGTTCGTCTTTCCCCCACTCGCCAGGTCATTATCGAACGCATGGACCGCCTCAAGCCCGGCATTCACCTCACGCTCAAGGTGGCCTCCGTGATGGGGCAGTGGGTTGACCTGGACATCCTGCACAAGTTCTATCCGATCAACAAGAGCAAGGAGGAGCTGCGGGCGCACCTGCAGGAGCTGGAAAGAGGTAGGTGGGAAGTGAACGAACAACGTTACAAACGGGAGGGGGAAGGGCTGGGAGGCGGGCGGGCTTAGGGGCCTTGGGAACCTAGAGACCGAGCTTTCTCAATAAGCCGGAATAGCAAATGATGCGGACCGGCGCGACGATTAGCCCGCGGGATGATGCGCGTCCGGATTAGGTGTGTTGATGCGTAGCTGGCATAGGTGTTCGTGCTGGCGCCAACGGGCAGGCAGGCAGAGCATGAAAGGGAAAGGGAGAAGGAGTAGAAGAAGCTGTCCTGTGTGAATGCGCATGTGTGTATGTAATGGTGAGGGATCCTGCGGGCATGGCTGTTATGTGGTGGGCGAATACCGTGCTTTTGGCACGTGAGTATAGCGCCTTGCATCGCGGCTTCTTTTCTTCTCGCGTCCTTTATGAGTTTTGCTGTGGGTCAAGTCCTGGCTTGACCGATTCGGATTGCCCTCCTTCCTGCTACGTTGTATCATGCATGCATGCTGCTGCTGCGGCAGGTAACTTCCTCAAGGCAACGGACGCGGAGGGCGTGTGGGAGTTCAACATGGTCGAGCGGGACATTGTATACGAGGTCATTCCCCACTACCAGCGCCGCCGGCTGCACGCCAAACTAGCACAGGTCGGTGCGCACACTTTCATGCGCAGTAGGGCACTGCGAAGCACACGAAGCACAGCTGCCGATGGCAAAACAAATTTGAAGAGGGCACTAAAGAGGGCCAGTTCTTCAGTTTCATTAGTCCGTGTAATTGATTAGTAGGGCCTTTCCTACCGTCAAAAACGGCCCTCGGCCACGCAGGAGCTTGAGAAGTCTCTGGAGGAGCAGCACGTGGCCACTCTCACCACCATCGCCTATCATTGGAACCAGGCCTGCATGGGGCACGAGGTGGCGGAGGTGGAGTGCTCGCTGAAGGCCATTGAGTTCTGGTGGGTCGATGAGTCGCTGGGACTTGTGTGTCCGCAAGTGGACGGGTGGGTGGGTGGATGGATGGATGAATGGTATATATCTGAGGTGGGGTGGGGGGGTAGATGTCGGGTATATCACCGCGGTTTCGAGGTTGAGATCGGGCAAGCGGCACTGCCAGCCAGGCGTTGCTTTGGACCTCTCCTCTTCCTTTTCGGTCTTCGGTCCTTAGCAGCACTTTTCATCCACCCTCCTACATCGCTACTTTCCCCACCACCTACGCACCACCTGTTGTTTAACCAATGCCTCGCCCCCGCCTGCTGCTTTCCTTGTACGCCGAACATTACACGCCGAACAGCGGGTTTCAACACTGACCCCAAACGACCCCAAACGACCCCCCGCAGGCACCGCGCTGCGGAGGCGGCCTACTCAGGCAGCAGTCTCATGGAAGCGCTCAAGCTCTACCAGAAGGCGGCCCAGATCGCAGAGGTGCTGGCGGAGAGTATGGGCGGCAGCATCACGGGGACACACCACCATCACCACTTGCTCACCAAGGGGTGAGTGGAGTGGCAGGAGGACAGGAGGAGGGAGGGTGCAGGACGATGGCTGCATGTAGGCACTGGCACGTGCAGGTGCTTAGTCCCTTAGTCCTCTCTCCTCCTTGTGGTTCGGGGTTTTCGATTGTGAAACGACGTGGAACGGCAAATGTAATAAGCCCATCATTTAGAGGAAGAAGTGTCACCTTTTCAATAGATGTTGAATGTTGAATGTTGAATGTTCTTTACCTTCCTTTTGCCTTCATCCCTGGATTCTTACCTGTACCGGCCCCATGGTGAGGAACCCCCCACGCACAGGAGCTGACTGTCCTGTCCCGCCCTATACCCCCATTTCTTATTTCATCCACCAACTGACTGCGCAGTATACATTCTCTTGGTAATCCTCCTCCTTGAACCTCCTCCTTGAGCCTCCTCCTTCACCCGCCTCCTTCACCCTCCTGTGCCTCTGTTTCTTCCCAGGCATGGTGACCGTCACGGCGACGGGGGGCTGTCAGGTCCCGGCACTGGTGGCCGCGACGGCAACAGCCTAGATGGGCGCATTGACGCCACCGACCAGTCCTTCACTGCGGTGGGCTCGGCCTTCCGCGGGCAGCTCAACTGGTCCCTCATCAGCCGACTCAGTCGGAGCCAGTGGGAGAAGTCCATGGCCTCGTGCTGCCTAGGTAGGTAGGGTGGGGAAGGGCACGGCAATGTGGGGTAGCTGCGTGCTGTCCTAGGGTGCTATGCTACCCTAACCCTTCTAGGTGCCGCGTGTGGGTGGGTTGCGTGGGTGTGGCTGGCTGCCTGCCTGCCGCGGCCTGCCTGCCCTGCCTGCCTGCCCTGCCTGCCTGCCTGCGTGTGCATATACATAACACGTGCGGATACATGTATGTCGATGCGGCTGACGCAAACGATCTCCCTCCTTTGCTGATTTTGCCTACCTAGCTACCTACCTACCCACCTACCTATCTGCCGCGCTCCCTCGTCCCCCTCACCCCCCTCCCTCCAGGCATTGTCCTGCAGCACCGCTACGAGTTCAACACGCAGCTAGAGTACTGGGACACGGAGGACTACTTCCGCCTGCTCACTGAACACGCCATCCGCGGTCTGATGTTGCTGGGGGCACCGCACCCCAATGAACTGTTGAATGAGAAGGGCAGCGGAGCCAGCGGCGCTGCGGTGTTGGACCGAGTTTGCTGTTGTTGCTTCCGTGGCAGCAGCAGCAGCGGAGCCGGCGGGGCCGGCGGGGGCTCGTCAGTGCAGCAGCACGGGTGGCACTCGGGGCTGGTGCTGCAAGACAGCGAGGTTCAGGAGATCCGGGACATATTGCTGGTGCTCATTATTGCAGCAGAGCACTACAGCCTTCAGCACGACGGCGGGGAGTACACGCGGCTGCTTACGTTCTGCAAGCGGGTCTGCAAATATTTCAACAAGTGCAGCGACTCGGGTGGGTCTGGGTCATACGGGCGCGAGGGAGGGAGGGCGAGGAGGCGCTAGGTAGGTAGGTAGCTAGGTAGGTAGGTAGGTAGGTAGGTAGGTAGGTAGGTAGGTAAGTAGGGAGCCCGAGAGCTACAGGGGAGCGGGCGGGCGGTTGGCGGCGGGACGTCATGCAAAGGGGCAGGAAGGAGAGGACAGGTTTATACATGTCAAGCAGCGCTGCGGGTACAGGCCGCCGCTGTGTTGTAAATTGCTGTAAGCTGCTGCGCTAAGTTACCTTTTGCTTGTATTGCAACCCCACGCCCCATCTCTGCCCATCCCGCATTGCCCCTCCTCCTGCCAGTTTCCGCCCTGATGGCCCGCGCCATCTCCCTCCCCACCTGCCCCGTCCCCTCCTCTCGCGCCATTTCTTCAAATGTATTATTGCCGTGTGTTGTTGGCCGCGATGCACGCACAGGCACGGATCCCTTTCTGGACATCCGAAGCGCCTGCTCCACCCGCATCAAGAACTACAAGGCCAGTCGGGCCCTGCAGACGACACTGGACTTTGGCGTCAGCCAGGAGCCAGCGTTGGAGGCGGCAGCGGCTCGAAATGCCGCGGTGGGGCAACCTCTGGTGGGACCGGAGCTAAGTCGGGCGGTGCTGGGCTGGCAGCGGCAGGGCACGCTGGGTCGAACGCACACCTAGTAAGCGTGCCAGCTGGCTCTTAAGGCAACTTGCCTGATCAGGCAACAACTAGCTAGGCAACCAGCCCGCAAGTTAGCAACCTGGCTGGCTAGCTAGGCAACTAGCTAGCTACCTAGCTGACCGGCCTGGTTAATGGATGGATGGATAGGTAGGCAGGTAGGCAGGCAGGCAGGCTAGCCGGGAAGCGCATGGAGATGTGTAGGTAGAGGTGGAGGTGGAGAGAGATTTTGGCGGCTGCCTGTATAGGTAGTAGGCTGTGGGGTCCTAGCTGGGAAGGTACGACCGGCCCTAGCCCCAGCCCTCCACGGCCTTCCTCTGCCGTACAAGGCTGCTGGTATTTTGCATACAGACATACGTACGTAGTACCAGTTGGGCAGATGCGCAGCAGCAGTGCAGCAGCAGTGGAAAAGTCCTAAAAGCGGCGGCGGCGGCGGCGGCAGCGGCGGTCGCTGCTGACCTGGACGGCTAAGCCCAGCCAACCCGACCTGGGTAGCCACCCTGCCGCCACGCCCCTGCTGCGTTGCGTTGTTGCAGCTGTTTTTCCTACTTCGCATGAGCAGGGGATTGGGATTGGGTTGGGTTGGGTTTGGTTGGATTGGGAAGGAAGATTTCTGGAAGGCGGAAAGCTGCTTGCCCTGTCCGTAGCGTGGGCTGATGTGTTAAGTCCTAGTCTCGACCCGGCGCCAGCTGGGGACGGCGTTCTGCCACACCCTCGCTTCCCCCTTCCCCCTGGCCACCCGTGGTGTGTGGGGTCTTGTCCATACGGTCCCCTTTCCCTATAATGTCCCTACATACACCCTGTGCGGCCCTTACGGTGCCCATTTACCGTAGTTCAGCTCTTTGGAGTAGGGGGGTGTTCTATGGAGCGGATTTCGTGGGTGTTTATCGCGGAGCCGGCAAGGCGCATATCACTCGTCCGGTAGGGTCGTTGGATGCGGACTGGACAATGCGTGGAGCGGAGTGGAGAGCTTTGCGCGTGAGCTGCTCTGTGTATGTGTATGTGTGCGTGTGTGCGTGCCTGCGTGTTGTGTCGAAGCGTGAAAATATGCATGTATGTATGTACGTACGTACGTATGTATGTATGCTTTGGCGCGTGTACCCGTCTATCGTGTGTGCAGATGATGCAATTGCACGTGCTGCGTATGCGGCGAGCGAGGAGATCAGCCGGTTAGGGTCTGGGCCCCTTCCGGAGGGCTGAGTCCAGTAAGGGCCCCGGGAGGCGTCCTGACATTCTGGCGAATTAGGGGTCACCCTTAGGGTTGACAGAGGCTGGGTGTCCCGGAGGTCGTGTGGCCAACTAGTAATAGGTGGCGGCAGTAGCGGCAACGTGAACAGCAGGAAAGGTCTTTGTTCGTGCACAACTATCTGTGCTTCGCATGGCAGGGCTAGAGAGAGAATGATGCGGAACATTCGAAAGATGCGGGTGCCGGGGGGATGCAGGCGGGCTGGGTCGAGTTGGCTTTGGGGGGAGGGAGAGTGGAGAGTTGAAAGCGAACAAGAAGGGGGAGACGAGGAGGAAGAGGAGGGGGGAGGGTTTCCCCACGCTTAAAACCTGCTGGGCGTTATGCTCTGGCTGCACGCAGAGGTGGTACGAAACTGCCGTACATGGCCGTACAATTCGCGGCAATGTGAGGTTTTGCAGTCGTTCGCTTGTTTAGTCTTTAAATTAGAGGGGCCAACGCTCTTCTCTTTTGCGGTGTGTGATTACGTCCATGTAATACTTCTTAGGATGCCGTTTTATCGGTGTTGCGTGGTGTTCGTGCATGCGTGCGTAGGGTTAATAAGCCCCAAAGAAACTCTATGTGAAATTAAATGAAGGCGTGTCGAGGCTTTGAAGCGAGGCACCGGTGGAAAATGGCTGTCCGTGGACGAGCCACGACGACGCGGTGACACATGTATATGCAATGGACGGTGGATGACATCTTGTGGGGGGGAAAGGAGATACTGAGGGGACGAAGGTGGAGCGTAAGGGGACGAAGGTGGCGCGAGCCGGGACAGGAGCCGGCGGGCGATGTTGCTGGTGTGCATGTGCGTGTGTGCGTGTGTGTGTGCATCATCTGTATTGGTAGAGGGGTGGTGGTCTCGGGCCCCAGGCAGGTGGACGGCTCTTAGGGTTTGTGACGATGTCATGTTTGATAAGTGGTGATGTGTGACTAACGAAGTGACATGGTGAAACACGATGCGTTATATTTGAGCTGACGGTGATGCTGTTAGGCATCTGGGGCTTCCTATGACCTGCTGCAACGGAGCTGAGGCTGATGCAGGCGCCAAAATGCCCGCCTGTCTCTGCGTATGTCTACCTGTCTGTCTGTTTCTCTGTCCGTCCTCCTGTGTCGATCTGTCTGTCTGTCCTTGTCATCCGCTGTGCGCCGCATCGCGTTCCGCCTGGTAGCACCCAGTCCAGATTCCGAAGGCCGCAACTCCGAAACGTAGGCAGGCAGGCAGGTAGGAATGCAAGCAGGGCAAAAAGAAGCTCGCATATGACCGCGATGGTGGGACCCCGTGCTTGCAGTGCTTTGTGTATTGATATATGTGACGGTTGGCGGGCGCCCGCCAATTTGCGGGCCAGGTTTTCACGCGGCTGAAACAGTCGTGTTGCTGGGTACGTCAGTCGAGATCGAAACCGCTACCGATAGTAAGCCCTATGAAGGGTCGTCACTTTTTATCGCGTGGTGTAGGGGATAACGTTGATGCGGCTCCATGTTTGGGGGTGAAGGAGGTGGGAGGACAGATTGAGCGCGGACAGTTGCGCTGTTGTTTTGGCACAGATCATAACGGTCGGGTCGGTGATCTGTAATCGATGACCCGCGGGTCTTCTTGACCCTGTGATCTTTACTTTTAGGCCAAATTTTTTGTGTAGTTGTTGGATGGGTTATCACACAAACGCCCATTCGGGCTTTAAAGTTCGGCGGTGTGCGCGCGCTTGGCTTGATATTTGTAAGGACCACTGGCGCGTTGTGTTTTCCTACAGTTGTGTGGGTGATTGCAAGGTGCTACTAAGCGAAGCGCAAAGCGTTGTGTGTGCCATGCTCAAGAGTTTGCGCTCGGTCTATCGCACTGCCCGTGTTCTTCGCACTGCCCGCTTTCCATGTGTGCACGCGCGTGCATGCATGTTTTGCTTGTGCGCTTCAAAAAACATTTTTCTATGCTCCACATATCTGCACCTCTCCTGCACGCTGAGCACCTGGTTTCTCTGAATGCCGAGTGCTGCGCGCGTGCAATGACTGTACACACGTGGTATGTGTTGTACAATGCGGCTCTCGAAATTCGCCCACCGGCTCGGGCCGTACAGGGCCAGGCAGCAGGAATTTTGACCCGTGACCCGATGGCGTACATATACGGCAGATTTTCTTATCCTTCCTGGCGACTGGCCGTTACCCTTACGCTGTAAGCCCCGGACCTATTTCTCATGCCAGTTGCCTCCCAGAGAGGAGATGGATATGGGCTGTTCTGGACCTCGGGTCGGACTGGGATTGGAGTTTTGGCTCCATTTAGATTTTAATGATAGCACTCGTCGAAATGCGACCCACGGATTGTTGGCAAGGTGGCGCCCATAGCACGCGGCCTTAATGACTGTGTCTTTTTGTGGGGGCGAAGGGTAGAAAGCATGAACCCGTCGTTCAATGTCCTTGAAATTTTGGCAGAGCCAAAAGTTGCCCAGAGGAGGCCCAGAGGATGCGCGGGATGCCGGCGGGATAACACGGATGATAACAGGTTCCAAAGGTGGTGTCAGCTTCCTTGAAGCTGGGCAAGATAGGCCGCGCAAACCCCTGCTTGAGCTGCAGTTCGGTTCCTTGACCACGCGGCAGAGTTGTTGTCGAAGCGCTTAAACTCGTACTCGCGGATGCTGCAAGGAAGCTGACATTTCAATCGTACCCGTAGATGCGGCACAGAAACTGGCAAACACGACTATGACATTACAATGCATTCGCAGTAGCATGTATGCTGTGTGGAGATTTATCGCGACATATGGTTAGTGTAGCTTGCTTCGGGTAATCAATATATTGACAAAACCGACTACACCCCACAAACTATCACACAAGTTTAACAATCTCGGTGTGTTTTCCTTATAATCAAAACTAAGCTATTTGACATTGCGCGCAAGCAAGGGGCAAGGAAGTCAGGATTGTAGCTTAGATGCGGCACGAGCAAAAGTGAGTATAGCCTCTAAGCTAAGTTATGTACGGCAGCCGTATGGCTTGCTGAGATTTCGAATTTACTATTTCAACTGTCAGCTCCATAGTTCCGGCATTCTGCCTACACTATTGGAGCTTGTTATTGTTGCTCTCACTCCCCCCCCGCCCTCAGTGTCCCTCGTTTATACGTGGCAGGCTCGGCCCAGTTGGAGACCTGGTGATTAGGCAGTCCCCTCGGAGCGCCAGACGCACAGCTGTACAGCAATTACCGCACGGCAAATAAGTGCCTTTAAAGTATCGTTGCGCGCTAGGAATGTCGCCTGGCCAGCCCCGCTGGCCAGGGTGTGGTTCGTGCGTCGCTGACGCTTCAGGTTTGCCCTCGGGGCGGGTGACCAGTGGACGCAGTTATTAATGCTGCGTTTAGTTGTCTAGTGCTGTGTGTCAGTTCTTTCGGCCGTGCCGGTGTGGCCGCGCTGGACAGCGCTGCATGCGCTCAGACCGCGCCGTGTGGCGCTAGACCGCGCTTCGGCGCACACGCGCCCTGGCGCTCCGAGAGCAGCAATTAGTACTGCAGTAGTGTAAGGCCCTTGGCAGCCCCGGTTCCGCCTCGTCCTGTCCGTTTACCGTTTACGTTTACAAGCTTCAAGCTTGTACAGTCCAGACGAGCCAAAAGGCTCATGAACCGCCAAACTGGAATCAAGAACTCAAAAAAGAAAAATGCCAATACCCAACAGTAACAGATTGATTAATCTTCAACGTACTGCAACCTGCATCTTCTAATGTCGTCCAGGACGCGCGCTAACCCGCGTTGATCCTTGACGCCCATAATCTCGATCATGCGGTCCCCAGGAGTAACCCCCAGGTCCCAAAGCTTCAAACGAATATTCGCATACTCAGGACAATCTAGCAACACATGACATTCATCTTCAACAGCTTGCCGGTTCCCACAGACCCGGCACCACCGGGCAGACCGTTCCCTACCGTGCGGTCGATTAACCGCCAAAGGCCAAACACACATCCTGAAACGCATCAGCGTGACGTGCTGTTTTGGCGAGATATAGCCGCTGCAATGCTTGGGCAAACCCATCCAATGCTTATAGCGGCACATCCACATCCTGTCCTATCCGGCACCTCGAACGCAACCGTACAGCAAGCCATGAAGGCTATAGGACATAACAACTATTTCAAAGATCTTTGACAGCAACATTCTCTATCATACGACTCTTGCCCCACCGTTATCACCAGAGCTAACGTGTAACCTTACGGCACTTCTAGGATGTGCAGTAATTGTGAGAGGCATTTGAGCCAGTGTGAACCTTATAATCGGTTACCCGACGTGCCTTACGAAATAAGTCGTTAATCGCGCAACAGTTTTCGCTGGCCTGCAGAACGATAACTGCAAAAAGTTGTGCAGTAAGCTCAGCGCGGATTGGTTTCCATCAATTTAATATTGACACACAAACAACTTCGTCTCTGGGTTTGGAAGGCGCTTGTTTCTTAGGCCAGGAACCTGTCAGGGTGGTCTGCCAATACGTATATAGGAAAGCTTCATATGGTTTCTGAACTGCAGGACGTACTGTCCATCCCATACATGCTATTTTGCGGACGCCAAGAACCGCATGTGTGTTGATGTGTGGGGCATGCGAGGGTGCACTCGCACACGAAGCCATTTTCTTCAAGTGCCTTCAAAGACCTTTCGGAAACTGCAGAAGTCAAGTCCGCGTGCTTATCCGACACAAGAATCGTGCCTGCAGCTGAGGTAGGCTGACCGAGGACGGAGTAGCATTAGACAGTGGTGTCACACAGACAGTTGATCAGTGTTTTCCATCCCCGCACAATACCAGAGTCCATACGACTGGACTCGACTGGTAAAGAAAGGGGGCTCCTTCACAATGTGTCGCTTAGAGGAACGGGTTTGGAGCTGTTGGTCTATCCTCCGGGTTCGAGGCCGGCCGACCGTCTTCCCTCGGCTGCCACCCGCCCCTCCCAGCGCCTCCACCTTCACTACCGCGTTCTCTGCCCCACCACATCTCCAG